TTTGTTTGATTGTTTTTAATCAAATTAAGCATTACTTTCTCTGGCTAAAAAGAGCATATAAAAGGGTAACAGTAAAGCTGTTATTCAATTACTAGTTACTTATGTCAGATTCATAATTTTAGCATTAGTCATGATTACATCATAATTGACAATAGCAGGAATAATTTGTAGCAAGTAACTGTTGGTAATCAAATGATTAAACTCAACAATATATGCAACAAAGCTATATGATCAATGAAGTGTACCCGGCTAAATTACTAGCTGATTATAACTCTAATCTAGTAAAGGAGAAAATAAGATAACACTCTGAACTTTAAGGAAATGTAAGTGCATGTAACTTTAATTTTGCTACACTAGCTCTTACCAGTTGCTCTAACGTTAAATAGGAATTAGATTCAAAATCTTTTTCCTGATCGTTCCCCTCAACTTGATCGGCAATTACTGTAGGTGATGTAATTTTTTCGTGATTAGAATGGCGATTGGAGAGCTCTCCTAATTCCAGATTGCGATTAAATTCTTCCGAATTATAAGGATTACGACTACTTCGATTTAAAGCTGTTGCGGTAGAATTATATGGGATAGCTTGACTTAGATTGTCATTATGGTGCCTTTGATGGCTTAATGGCGGATAAGAGGGTCGCCACTGCGATGCTTGAGAAGGTTGATTGACCAAATCATGGCTATAATCCGCTTGTGGTAATTCTGTAAAATCCCGAGTTTGCTGATTGTTTACATCGTTACTTCTAAGGGTAGATTTCAGTTGATGATCGGCCATTTGAAGAATCTGAGATTTCGATTGAAACTTGACATGATGGTCAAGTGCAGAATTTTTATTTTCATTTACTAGTTTCTTTAAATTTTCAATTTGTTGCTCTTCATTCAATCTTTTTATTCTAGCCTCATTCTATTCGTAAAAATGTTGAAGTTATGTCATGATTAGTGTACTAAAATTTGAAATCTAAAGAATCTTATTCCTGTAATGCAGGAAGAATATTTTTGTAATTCAGCTAGCTAGAATTAAACTCTACAAAAATTGCTCGGAAAATTTTATCATAACTGCATTCAATTTGCACCAAAATAATTTAAGCCTTATGCCATATTTTCCTGATTAGGTTATTATTATCATTTTGAAGGCAGTTAACTATCAATGAAATAAATGCCAATCAAGAACTTTCATCAGCTAATCTAAAAGTAAATTAATTGTGTAAGTTTACATCAATGTGTACCAATCGATGGAATTTGGAAAAATGAACTAGATTATATTTAAGAACATCAATTATAATTGGTATTAACTGTCCGGAACTGAAGGTTCTTGATACGATAGATGCAATTAGGACTACAGTATTTGCAGCTAAGCTTTTTTCACTTGTTCTCTAGTAATTTTCTACCTGTAAAATGATTAATATCATTTCGATACAGTATCACTTCTATAGCAGTTATAAACTGCTAAACTATGCATTTCTAAATTTTGAGGCAACTACTTTATCTACAATCAATTGATCTAATTTCGGCATGTAGCAATAAAGCATATAGCTTATAAATTCTTAGTTGTGTGCCCACCATTAGTTAAAATTTTCTAAATTTTCAAGTACGACAGTACTCATTTATTAATGGCGTAATCCAATTTGTATTAAAATGCCATAAAAAGAACTGCAGTGATATCTTTCAGCAATATACGAATAGCAATAGGTAGTTATGAATGTTTTATATATCTAAACTTATTAAGAAAAATTTAAATTATTGCGAAGCTAGCGAACATTTATTAAGTATTAGTTATAGTAAAAAAAATGGGCTATGTCTTTAATCATGTCGTTGTATTATGCATAAGTCTTTATAAATTATTCCATCGAGTATCATAACCCGCTATACTCGTAGCCTTTTCATTTAATGTAAAGTAAATTAGCATCTGTTTACGCATGACTACGTTAGGTAAATGTCAATATTAAGATCAACTGCGATCTCAAGATTTCAGAAATAATCTTATGATTGCAGATATTATTGATCATCGTCGCTATGATTCTGTCATTATATGTCAAGAAGCAACTTAAAGTACCTTTAATTGATCGCGAACAGGAGTCATCGTAGATTCTTGCCGAGATGAATAGTTTCCGTCGTATGCAAGTCTTGAAGGCGTTGGAACTCTTTTCGAATGAGCTAATGGGCTTTGACGATCACGATATGGTGTACTAGCTCTTGTTTCGTAACTGTTGTTGGATAATTGTCCACTAGATGGAGGTCCTATCATCAATAATATTGAAAGATACATCAATCAGTTTAATGTTAACATTTAACTGGTTCATATTTGATTTTAACTTACAAAATTTAGTATATTTCTTGTCTCAAATTAACAGGTCAATATCGTAGATTCAATTTATCATTAATTATACTCGCAGGTTCTATCATGGAAATATGATATTACTGGCATTGTATTTTACCTGATGCTGGCGTTTGGTGATTTGTTGTTAAGGAAGTGGACATGACTTAATCTAGACTATTAATTTCCCTGATCAAATTAAACAATTAAATGAATGATATCAATGTATCTTATGGTTAAAAATCAAATAGTTTAAAAGCTAATATCACAACAATGGGTAATGGATTTCAACATTGCAATCACGAGATTCCATGGATGAAAATCAGAGTCGAGTATTAAAAATTACATTGGCTATAATTAAAAACTAGTTTATTCTTTTCTATGCTAAACGATAGATAAAGCGCTACACTCTCCCTTCTAATCGTAAAAAGAATAGATCAACTTTAAAATTGACCATAAAAGATGATGTTAGGATATTGTAATACTAGTCTTAGAATAGTCTATAGCAAAATGAATACTTTCGATGAAAAATAGCCTTAAGAAATAAAACTAATTATTCGATAGCAAATTAAAAGTCAAGGAGGGAAAAGTTGAAGAGGAAGAAAGCTTCCCCCTTTCAAGTACAAATTTTAAAATTATTTACAATTAATCCATTAGATAACAATTTAAATTTTGATTATAAGGAAATGCCATAAACCAGCTGTAAATTAAATCTGTAGAATCATCATATCGATAAAAGATGATAGGCATACCTTGGAAAGTAGATGATGATAAGCGGTGATGAGAATAGCTATCATGGAGTTTATGTGTATTATCAGATTTAGCGTCTAACGATGTTGACCGTTAAATAATGCAAATGATAATGAAGTGTTGAAGACTTAATTAGTGACGTCACAGGCGATGGATAACAATTCAACTAAAATTCTAATTTGACGATCTGGTTGCAAGCCTCCTTCTCTAATTCTTAGACTATTATCAATCGATCAAATGATCGCATAGAATCAATCTATTTTATTTTTGGATTAAAAAAATGGAATTTTCTTATTTTATTAACATTAAATGTTTATTGCATCCATTAATAATGGAGTGATTCCAGATTCCAGTAGTTTTTATGCTACAAAGACGAGATCAGGACTAGTCAATCATTGTGACAAACATCTAAAGATTTGTAACATAATTTGTTTAATTGAATCACTAACAATAATCAACTATAAATAATAAACATTGAAGAAGTCTTTGTTTTAACTGAATATAGAGAATTAAAATTAGCCAAAGAACTTAGAAAACAAGAATGTTGTGAATTGGTTGATGTTTGATTCGAAGAATTGATAGCATTTGAATCGATTTCAATTGTTCAAGAGTTCTTTTGATCATGAAATGCACTGCTTGTAGCTTTAATATACCTATGTTGTAGTGTAAATTTAATTCAATTCTTGGCTTACTAGATAAATTAAAAATCAACTCTTCCACTGCTTTAAATACACAACGATTAGACATCCCATGGCCGGCCATAATAGCCTTCGCAGTTATATACGGACAGCAACTGCAGACTATATGCATTGTAATACTGACGTTGAACAGCACTTATTATTTAATTAAAAGAGTTACCTACAGAATTTCTTATCATTCTCTTAGTTTCTATCGTTCTTTATTAAGTAATGAGCAGCATTACCATTTCACTACTACAGTTGCTATGTCTTACCGATATTCGAGCAGAAGCTGATCACTTACTTGAAATAAATCGAAATCCAAGTGTACTGTATTAAAAAAGATTATGAATTAAAACGCATCAGTTTCAGCACTGTAGAGAATATGTGATAATTTAATCAGGAAGTAATGTCGCTAGTACTGCTAATACAGAAAATTAAATAATCCTGAAATTATCCGAATAGCAACGATATTAAACTCAATTCAGATAGTTTCGATATTAATCGGGTATTAGCTGTAACATTAGTAACATTGCATGGGCTAGTTAGGGATCCATTTCGGTAGTAAGTTCAAGTAATTCTATATTGGTATCTTTTAATCTGTTTAAAGTTAAGGTATTGCAAGAATTAATTAATAGGCGAGAATGATACTTATTACTGATGTAATGATAATCGCGTACGTGTTGTAGGTGATAATTTTAGAATATAATTACGTGTTCGATCGTTAAACATTGAACAGATTATAATTATCATTGCAATTAGAATAGAATTATCGGCTCATAAATAGAATTAACGGTAGTTTCTATTGTGTAGAAAGACATCAATTATGGCCGTTGCTTAGCCGAATTGACCCGAACATTGCCAACCCTTAAGTAGCTAGCCTAGCTTGTTAAGCTAATAAACATCATTATCTAGTAATATTGTAAGTTTCTTTTTCGCTGCATCCAAGTGATGTTCTAAAAGCCATAGCGAATAAATCTCTGTTCGAAGATAACTCTCTTGGTATACACTAATCAGGTCTTCATATGATATTGCAACAACTTTGACTGAACTTTATTTCCAATGCAGTGTAACGTGCAACATACAATTGATACATATAACTTGCTGCGAAAAGGTTGCTAAAAACTGCTCATCTCACTTCAATTAAAACATACAAGATTTATTACAGTTTTAGAATCAAAATAATTTTTATATTTTGACCGATGGCGACGGGTAAAAATATGGTTATGACATTTACAATTAGCATTCGAAAAATATTACTACGTCAATGGGGCAGCCGATATAGAATTAGCTGACGTATTATTTGCTGTTAGCATCATATCAATAACCCCTAATAACTTTCCAAACGATTCATGAAGCCTTGTTTCTTCATGAATTTTATCTTTGATCTGTAGAAACAGATTATCTACTTTCGAGGATTGGCCTAAAATCGGTGAGTATATATCTAAATAAGGGAAAAAAATTTTGAATTCCAGGTTTACTTCATCAATAGAATGATTAAAGTGCTCGTATTATTTTAACACAATCAAACATGAATTACAATAAATCGCAGGCTTACCAAATACAATATTAGCAACATCAGAAACTAGGGAACTATAGCGCGGATTAGATATATTCCTAATAAGTAAGCAATTGCAAGTTAAGCTTTCACACATGCATCGTTAATATCTACAAATAGTTCTCTTTAACTTACTTTTTTATAAAATATAATACAGGTAATAATGCATCTTCATCTCTCCCAGATAAAGCTATAGGTAAGCCATCGCGCCTTATTAGTTCTTGTATTACACTGACAATAACAGGCGGGTGATTGCTAGATTTCTATTCATGCAAAAAATACTCTTTATTAGCTACTAATCATTGTAATTTCGCGCCAAAGTAAAGTACAATAACTGAATGTGATTCTACATCTGTTTAGTATAAAATAAAGCCGGTTACCTTTAAAACGCTATCCAAAGCCTCAGTATACTTAAACTGACGCAATAGTTTGTCATGTAAAGGCAACCGGGTTAATTTCTTTTCCGCCACAATAACTGCATCCTAGTAATATAGTGTAAACAATGTCTTATTAGAATCGTTTTACTTTCACCATGATAGTTAAACGTCACCTTTGAGGGGCCTGATTTTCTACTATTAAAGTAACGAACTGTTCGACCCTTTGGTCTCCATTTAAACTTTGGCAATTCTTGTTTATGTCGTGGTCTTTCCTTGATAGATAATAGTCCGTCGGACATACCAACTACTAAATGGCTATCATCGGGCTAAATAAAAAATTGATCAATCTTATTATAGCACACATCCACGCAGAATGAGCATAATGCGTAAGATTTAGAAATAGACATATTATGAAATACCGATATGCCTAAACTTGTTATGGGTGAGGAATAATCCATACTGTGGACAACTTTGTAATCTTTGATATCATATATCTTGACGTGTCTTCAATTGCGAAAGTATTAAAGTGTTCAAATATTACTTTGAAAATTCAATAGCATTTAGGAGAACTACTGATTCTCTAACTTACCTATCTAACGACCCGGATAAAAGTCTTTGCCCACTGTTATCTAAACACAAGCATGTAATAGTCTTTTGATGATTTGTAACACCCATCAGTAGGCGTCCACCACCAATAAGGTCCCATACCTTGATATAATTACTTCCTGTAATAGCGAGACAAGCTTCTATCATAGCTGCTCCTTCGAGACAGATAAGACGCAATAAAATAATATCCTGTTTTGTTCTCACCTGCCGAGATACAAATACTTCCACTAGGGTAAATTAACACTGCTTCTACAGGAGCTCCATGATCTATAGTCATCGAACTCTTGTCTGTACGCCTGTCCCATAGCTTTAAGGTATGGTCATACGATCCTATCCAATAAATACAGGATTAATATCAAATCAACCCCTTATTTTGGTACTACTATGTGGTATAATTATAACAACAATGTACTGTAGATAGTTATCGTCGTATACCAAAACTTTACCTGTTACCCAAACATCGCTGCTAACTCTACTGACATCTCCAGCTCGGATGTAATCCTGGTAAAGGATTATTTTTGCAAAATAAATATACATTGAAAAGAGCACATTCGTAGTGATTCAAGTTAAGACTACTATTTGTCTTTCAATCCAGAAATACAGGACATTAAAAATAGATTACCGTATGTTCATCAAAAATAGCAACTTCTTTTCCAGTGGGTAAATCCCAGCAACGAACTAATTTGTCATCTGAGGCCGAAATAATGTGTAGATTGTTCATTGCGAAACGGGCTACATGAGCAGCTCTGCAAAATTAGGTGTCATCGAGATCAATACCAATTTAATCAACAGTAAGACGACCAAATTAATAAATCTTGAATACTTTGCTGACCTCTTATGACCATGTAATTGTCGTAATACTGTTCTACTATGCGTATCAAATACCTGTATGGGCAGATATTAAGGCAAAATAATACAAGATATTTATCTTTAATGCAGCTTCATTCAAGAAGGCATTGATTGATTCAACATCAATGCTAGAATTATTTTGTAGTTAGTAAAAAGTATCCTGTACTGTATATACAGCTATTCATAATTTTAAATCTAGATCCGAAACAATGATTGAATCGGTCGTGCTACCTGGACTAAACCATCGCCGCTTCCAGCTGTAATTAACTTGCCATCGTAACGAAATGTACCGCATAAGGCAGAGTCATGAAACCTCGAAATGGCTTTGTAAACTTGATTACTTGCACAATCGTACAATTGCACCTAATCAATGATCATAATCGTGAAGCAGTACATTAAGATTTCAACATTATCATGTTTACTAATATCTACGCGTCTAATCTGACCGCAATGTATTCTACGTGTTCAAAGGAAACAATAATTTTGACTACCTTCCATAGTGGTTAAGTATACGCTCGTATAACTGATTATTTTATCCTGTAGAGTAAGGCACAATTACCCAGTTAAGAAGAAGAGAAAATAGTGATTTACCTTTGCGGAACAAGTAACAGCGTAGTGATGCGGTAGGACAGGTGAAAAATCGATACATGATATTGCTGAATGTTCTTTGGCCACTATAGGGAACTGTCATGAAAAACAAGTAAGACCAGAGTGAGAGATTGATGATTGACTGCTATAACTCAGGTAGCAAGTAATATTATTTCCAAGAGCTATCGATTGAAATTATTTGTCTTCATCAGCCGTACACGTACGTATACTGTATGTGCAATTGCAACAGGTCTACCTAGGTTGTCGTTCAATCTGTCGAAATCCTTGTTTACCAAGCATGCTGAGGTTCAGTAGAGCTGATCAATATGAATCTAGACTGATTGCCAGCCGTTTGCTCAAAGCTTACAGTTAATTACTTGCAACGATTCATTGATTGTGCCGTTTCTCACGACGGTCTTGCATACTACTTATATCTGTATCTACAGCGCCAAACTACCTCCCCAATAATATAACCGTAGTCTTGGTTTAGACTTTTGCAGTGAAAAGGTCTATCAAGTCCCGTGGTAAGTTGTACCGCCCGCCCCGAAATATACAAGGTATGTTGACGTGATCGAGCTCAATCAAGACTAAGTTTGGACTTGTGCAACTACCAGCATTAGTACTAAGTGTCCATCCAAAGTTGCAATTTGATGGATAAAAATCCTTCATCCATATAAAGCATGCTGAAGATGTTGAGAGTGCTAGCTTAATACATGTACTCAATACTGTATACGTCGATAAGCTCATTCTTCTACACCAAGCATGATGTAGTTGTTGAGCTGAATGAATAGTGATTTGTCTAGACCAGTGCAACTAACTACTCAGTGTCCATCAAGTGGTCTATCGAATGGTAGAGGTTGTACTTTTCTATCCGAATAATCTGCCACTCTTCGATACAAAGTGTGGTGAAAAGCTTGAAAGGATCGAGCGTGATCAATCTATCTTTCGTTTGGACTTTAGCAACTACTCAAGCATGCTGAAGTTGTGGAACTTTATGAATTGCTATTGGTTTAGACTTTGCAACTACACGCCATACCGTCATTCTTCGTCTGTACAAAGAATGCTGAAATTGTCGAGCCTTACATCGATGTATCGAGTCGAGTGGATTACTGAAACTACTCAATGTATTTGGAGACAGTCTGTAGAGTGGTCATAATAATGGTAAAATAGAGAAAATGAACCTTATATCCCATCCAATAGCTTGATTCACTGCTTTCTTCAACATTGGCTTTAGAGAATTTTTTAATAGGAATCCTTTTAAAGTCCGCCATGACGTCGTGAGTAGAATGGCTTTACTGCATCCACATTTGTTGTAATCAATGGACCAAAGTGATCGTTGCACGGCACGATCGATCCAACCTAGCTGGACAAAATGGTCAATTGTATCTGGTTGCTATCGATACAGTAGCAATTTGAGCTTGAAAGTTTTGATAAAATAGTCGTTAATTGAAGAGAATGACGATGGCAGCCGGTTTGAGCTGGAATCGATTGGCCACTTTCAATTTTCGATCCACTTGACCAGTCCAAAGTAGGATGTGATCGATGGCCAAAATGCTACAAGCTCTATCACTTCCAACACACCACTCGTACTAAGCAAAAGAATGTAGTAGGAAGAAGAAGTAAATTGAGTGCAAGCTGCTAAGGTAAAAATCAATGTTAGCTCCTTGTTGGATAGCAATTTGACCTTAGCAATGGCTGCCGCTGGCAAGGCTTTGATGAACCTCAACGACTGACTTGTCCGTGCAGGTCACTGTTAGTCCTAGCTTCAGTCACGCTCTCTCGAGCTTCCTTCAAGGCCTTTCAAACGCTCTCGATCGCGGTCCGGTCCGATCCGGTCCGGTCCCTACTGGTCTCCACAGTCTCGATATAGTGCTCGTAGTAGGCTTTGACACAGTACTTTGCAGCGGATACACTGGGTGCCATGTGCGTTTGAAACGGTACCGTACTGTCAAAGAGATGATGGTAGAAACCGCCCAGTTGTCGTGTACAGTGTACAGTGTACAGTACTGTACTCTAGTAGCAGGTACTGTACTTTCTGACAACTGAACCGTAGTCACGTGTACGCGTTGTGACTCTACTGTACAGTACAGTGTACAGTAGAGTCACAGTCGCAGTCGAAAGAGGAATTCTACAGCATTCGATGGACTGTATCGATGCACTGAACTACTGTCATTTGGGCAATAGAAACATCCACATGTACACTGTACACTACGTTTCTCAGCTGGACTAGAAATCTATCAAGAACCATTTTTAAAATCGTTGTGTAATTCGACAGTCTGTATTCGGCCATTACTATTGCCAATATTCGAGTGTCAGACTGTCACTGTACACTGTACAGTAGTGTGCTGTACGGTACAGTGTACAGTATGTTACCTACAGTACTATGTACCCTCAGAGTACAGTATACAGTAGTGTGCTGTACTGTACAGTGTACAGTATGTTACCTACCGTACTGTGTACCCTCAGAGTACAGTACCGTACTGTACAATGTGTACATTAGTACAGTATGTTTAGTTACTTTAGTATAGTCTTGTTTGGTCAGCCAAGACAAGAAGGACAACTTCTGTCCGTCCGAGGGAAAGGCACACCTCCAGTATGATTAATAATAGACTAAGAAGGGATAGAATTCGATCCTCTTCCTTTCCACTCCAAATACTCCATTCTAGAAAGAGTCCACTTTGTCATAGACTTTACAAACAACAGCAGTATACCATAGGCTGACTAGTGACCATTTCACTAAAAAGTAGATCATGATCAAACGATTCCAATATACTAGTGAAGTTAGCTTGCCAACATGCGATTTGCCAATCCTCCACTCTCTGCCCATAGTCCAGCTGTCCGTCTGTGATGAAAGCAGTCATGACGTCATCTTGGGCTAGACTGGACTGGACTTTACTACCTAGGACCAGCCAATGGACAAACTACAATCGTATGGCTTCTACTACGTCAAGGAGAATCAGTATAGGCTGGCTAGAGGAACTCCAACCTAGCGGTGTAATAGACTTTGTTTTCTATCACGAGATATCCAGTTGCGAGTCCTGATGGTGATGGTCGGTGGGCAATTTAGTTTAGATTCTTCACTTTTAAACTAAAATTGAATCCTTTCCACTTGCTTGCTATTATCAATCCGATATCCTGTTGTAGTCTTTGACGATCTAGAGTAGAACAAGTAGCCTTGATAGAGAGCGATCAAGAGTACAACGAATAACCTTGGTAGTGGTGTCCTGGATTGCCAGAGTGAAAAATTAGTGTCCATTTTCCGGGAAAGAAGAAAAGCGACCTTAGTGGATTAACGGTACCCAAATTGGATCAAGAGAGAATGCTTCCCACGGTCAAGAATATGCCGTCAGCTTCCGTTTCCATTTTTCGCTCGGAAGAAATGACATTAGCGCAACTCTATCTGCAAGCAGATGCCGCTTATAACTGTGTTAGCGCATTAGGTGAATTGGTAAGTCAACACTTGACCATAAACAACTTCTGCCGAGTAGGATTTTTATCCTTGATACAGAAAGAGGATACAGCGTTGCTAATGATAGCAAAATAAGAGTAGTCTATTCTACGGCTAAATAGGAATAAAAATAAATAAAAATATGCAAAGGCCTGAACAGAATACCACTTCTCAGTAATATTCTAATAAACTCCAAATTAACCCGACATGGATTGACCAAGGAGTTCTATCGGTCCATAGACGGTGCTGAGTGTTCCACTCCCTTCAAGAGTACCCTAGTATCCATGAAATGAATCGAACCTTCAAGAAAGGCACTGTCTTCCTGTAGACGTACGGATTCAACATCGATCCGCTCAACAATTTCATCATTTACGAAGCAGTCATGGCATTAGTTCTTAGAGCGGAAGAGGATAATTCCAGTTATACTTCAAAAAACTAGGAGACAGTGCTGTGTATCCTTAGTTTTTTCTGTCATGGATGCAAGGGTTAGTGCAGTTTTATCACATCGATCCCATCGCGACATGGGTAGGACCCATACACTGTACTGTACAAGTGTATACATACGCGTAGATCCCTTGGGGAATTCACTGTCCAGTAGTTCAAACTGATCAATGTTGCTTTTTACAGTTGATACAATCCTATAGAGCTATTCGGGTTGTCATCTAGCAGTACATTCAATCTTAATTTTATAATTAGTTATACTAACGTGCGTAAACATCATAGCGCCATTAACACTGATCTGATACTGTCGATTTTCTACAGCGCAGTAATTGATAGTCAATAACGCAAATTCTACTATATCAGTAAACATAAAAGGTGTTCGATGGATGAGGCTCGTTTCTTTGTACATATGCGTATAATGACTTTCTTAAATGACAAATTGTACGATTACTTATTACTCGAATTAGTCGACGTCTGGTCATTTTCAAGAGATGCCTACGTCTTACTGCATACATGGACAGTTGTACACGACGGTATTTCTTTCTTCTTCAATCAGGCGCAAGAGAAGATGATTGAAGACTTTTTATAACATAATAAATACCCCCTCTATTTCCCTAACAAATCATCTAGAGTAGACATTAGTCCAAAGTAAACCATCAAGTCTGTTTTATTCCACAAACTTTTAATGAAGTCCTAATCAACTTTCCCTTGTCTTGTCCGTCGAGTGTTGAGAAAAAGTTGTCTGTACGTCGGTCAGATGTCCGACGCATTGTCACGTGAATGACATGACGACCTTTTCCAGGCCTCATCGCAGTCGCCTATACAGTTTCTTCTTATTTGCAGTATAGTATGATACACAACCATTCCATACTGTAGTGGACGGTACGGAAAGCCCGGACGTACTTCGATTGTTGACATCGGCCATTGGATTGGCAAAGCTGAATTTTAATGCCAATCGATTACTAGACCTGATGGATGGGCAATAAATTGTACAGTAGCAGGTAGAAAGATCCCTTAGGAGGACTCATTTCCTACATTGAGATTGCTGATATCGGCAACTCGAATTCTAAAATTGACGGACAACTTGAAACTTTCAATTTTAATTTCATTATAATAGGTTAGACGTGCACATGCTAAATTGCCCATTCAATGATACCAGCTTTCATATGAAAATGGAAGTCATAGCTAATAACGTGAGCAGTTTCCATTCCAACGACCTACGTGTAGTCGACTTACAGCTGATGCTGTAGCTAGATTAGCTGCAAATAGAGCTAGTGAACAGTCTGTATTCTTGGTGTGAGCATAAACTAAAAAGTTAGTAATATTAGTCCTTTACTGTGAGGTTATTTTCCATGGGCTAAAAAAATTGTATACACAGTTTTGTCATTCAAATTCAATTTTTATGATAGTAAAAGATTACGATCTGAATGTAACATGACAGCTACTGTAGTAAAGTAACCATTTTTCATTCTAACGAGTTGAGCGAAAGCTGCTAGTGCAGCAAACGAAATCGTAATACAAACGATAGACAATATCTGCTAGCATCCCCAATATAGAGAGCAGTATTATAATAGCTAATAAACTGTTTGTCTAATAACTTACCGAAATCATGCTAATACAGCATTCCAATCAACTTGCTGTAAATGAAAATTGTAGCATGATATAAGATGAAATACAGGTGTACAATATTATTTCACGAAATGTCTGCTAACTCGCCCTGATGCATTTCCTGGAGTGAATGCTATGTACAATTTGGGAATGTTACACAGGAGTAGCGTATGTAGTCTCTGAAATGCATATTAACGGCAGCCTATTCAATGATCAAATAGTATATACATCCAAGTATTGCCATATTCGTTCTAATGCATGTTGGAACCAAGGATATATGCAGTATAGCCCATAGGGTTGTATATCATAGAAGAAGTGGATCACATTTTGCTACACCGCACCACAATGGAATGGAGTACTGTATCATCCTGCCTAGCACGATCAGTACTGTATTACTTTTCGACTGCTGTTGATTGTACAATAGTAATCAAGGTTAAAAACAAACTTTAAGCTATTAAGACAGAGAAGTAAACTTGTTAGCCATGAATCACATATTTTAGCTGTCAGCTGTGAGTTCACTTAAAGGGGACATTTTCTATGTTGATAGCATCTATACATGTAGGATTATCTTTTAGGTTTTCATGTACAAGTATTGTTTCCTATTCTGTATTTTAAAAATAATTCCAAGACTAAATTCAATTATCTTATACAGTATTTGTATTATCTTGTAAATTTTAATTTACAAATATGATGTCTCTTACTTTAAAATGAATTAATGATTAAATTTTTTTCATAGGGAGCCGTCCATTTTCGCGATGTAAGTACACCAGATAAGCAAGAAAGTATTAACTCGGTTACAGATCTGATAAACAACGATTGCCCTTACAGCATAATAAACTGGCGTTACAAATTCTCATGGCTATCAGACAATTATACTGTACAAGAGTTTAGTCGGCTGATGATACTTGAAGATAAACTATGAAAGAGATACGATTTGATATGATGCAGGACGAACTTATTCGAACAACAGTGCAGTAGCATAGATTTCGATAAAATTTAACCAGGCGCGCCTTACCGAATGCTCTCCTGTGTGATAAATTGTTAAAAGATAGTATTGAAACTAGTTTAAAGCATTCGTTAGAGTAGCATAAAGGAATGCTACGCTTGTCCTAGTTATTTGATTCCAGTCTTACAGTGCGTACTATCAATGTCAGTTGGCTGCAAAGATTTTTTTAACTTTATCTGACTGGTTTTGAACCCCAATAGTTAAATCCAGATATCAATGCTTTCCAACGCAAATTTGTATCAGAAGTGCGACGATGTGAAGATGTCGAGCGGCAAATTAGTAAGTAAAGGACTACATTTGAGAACTGACTGTACGGAACAAACAAAAATTGATTTCTTACTTGACTTATGGCCATACTCACTACTTACAAATGATGGAATTCGCGAAATCAGAAATGTTATAATAATATCAATCCGGTGTAAAAAGTTTACGTTACTACTGTCTACTATCACAAAAATTCATATCATTTCTTAATGTAGTAGTTGAATATCGATGTAGCAAGATTTACAGCGTTTCATTTACAACAGCATATGTTATCTCATGGGATGACATTATAGCTATGTTACATCTTTCATTCGCTATATTTTGTTCTTTAAGAAGGATTTACTAATGAATGGATCATCGTTGCTATTATTTAATATCCGAATTTACTCGTATTTTACCGTCGTTTTCATACGGATAGATATGCTCATTTTCGTACTAAACAAAATATTTTTCTCAATGTTATCGCAGGATTCCTTATGAAGGAAATGCAGAAAGCAAACGTAGTCCCTGATAAATGTACTGAAATTCCATCGGCTCCGCTGCCACAAGAATTGTTCCAGATGCAGGTAAGCAACTATTGCATAATTATTAAGACAAGCTTAACTAAAAACCGGAAAATTATCGACAGTCCTTATAGTACTTAAGCGCAAGGTACTATATGCACCAATGTTTTGATATGTTACCATTACTATTAGACGCAATTTATGAAATACGAAACTGATCTCAAGCAAATCAATAACAACTACGAAACTCTAGCAAGACATGAACTTGAATTGCAAGAATTAGACGTTGTTCTTTGTATGGCACAGACCTTTTTTAACGATGTAAGAATAACTGTCTTAATACTCTTTATAAATTGTGGTAAATTCTAGAAAAATAACTGCGTAACTGGTATTGTATTTGGTTTTACGTATGATTACAGATAGTTGTAAAAGAATTATTGAATTAGTCCGTGTTATATTCCATGTTGCAACAGTTAGACTATTATAGGATATTTACGCATTATAGAATTGTAAGGCAATATTTGTAATTTGATTAGCCACAATCTGTAGCGATGGCCGAAATCGTAGAAGAAGCAGTTGACGACTTAGACGAAGGAACTGCATTGATAAATATTCAGTCCACAGATAAAGCGAAGCACTTAAAGTAAGTATGATCAAATTATATTCTTATGACGATGCACCTTATGTCAATAAATCTCTTGTTACGCCGGTAAGAATTTTCCAATTTTTTTATTAAGCTTCATATGTGGTACCATTCGGAATGATCACAAGTTCGCATTTGAAAAGCTTCTGTGGCGAGTTTGCTTAGCGAACGCTTTCGTTCGAATATCAGAACAAGACTACTTAGTTGAGGATCCAAAATCAGTATGTATCAATGTCATTCCAGTTATATATCCAACATACAAACGGTTAAAAATATATGCTTTTGCTCATATATCATTTTGCTTTATTTAAAATAGGGTGAATCGATTTGGAAATCTACCTTTATCATATTTTTTCAAGGCGACCGCTTAAGAAAACGAATAGAAAAGATCTGTGATGGGTATATTGACCGCCAGTCATTCTCTGCATCAGTTTATTACTAGGATAACTAACTACTGTATTGCTAAATTTACTTAGAATGACCGCTACATTATATCCTTGTCCTGATGATGCTAACAAACGACAAGTTATGATTCAAGGCCTGGCTACTAGACTAGAAGATGTACGACAAGTCCTAAAACAATCCAAGGATCATCAGGTTAATCTCTTAACTGAAATCTCTCACTCTGTCGAAGAATGGTTCATAAAGGTAGATATCTATTTCAATATAGACTGATCACCCTGTAATATATATATATTAATTGATCGAATTTACTTTTCAATGAATATCAATAGATTAGAAAAATGAAGGCAATATTCCATACCCTGAATTTGTTCAACGTGGATGTTACACAGAAATGTCTTATTGCAGAATGTTGGTGTCCAGTTTTTCAACTAGCTGACATTCAAAATGCTTTACAAAGAGGATCCGTAAGTATACATACGAGTTCACTCACAATCTAATTTAGCTGTCTAGCTTTATCATCACCCAGTTCTTACACAAAATCTTGTTGACTATGGCAAAAAAATTTGTTATTTCTATCTAGGAGAGGAGTCAGTCAAGTGTGCCTTCAATATTGCATCGCATCAGAACCGAGGAGAGTCCTCCAACCTATCACAGAACAAATAAATTCACTACTGCTTTTCAAAGTATCGTTGACGCTTATGGCGTTGCTGACTATCAGGAAGTAAATCCAGGTTGGTCTTTAATTTAGATGACTAGCAATTACCTCATATTTTAAAGACACACCTGTTGAAAATCTCTGTTCTTTATTTTTATTTCAGCTTTATATACAGTAATTACTTTTCCATTTCTTTTCGCCGTAATGTTTGGGGATTGCGGCCATGGCCTCTTAATGTTTCTATTTGCTGTTTGGCTTATCTATCGCGAGAAAAAATTTATGAAGGAATCGAATGGAGAGGTATAAAGTCTTACTAGGCTTTGCATTTATATAAAAGGTGGCATTCTCTGCAATCTAATAAGCCATTGTTTACATTTTCTTTTCGAAGTATTTCGATATATTAACTCGAAATAGCGACATTCCATTCAAATAGAGCGCTTTTTCTTTGATACTAGATGTTTGATACTATTTTTAATGGACGGTACGTGATCTTGTTAATGGGCGCTTTTGCAATTTACACTGGATTAATATATAATGACGTTATGTCCAAATCCTTGAACATATTTGGCACTGGCTGGATTTTCCCGAAGGACTTGTATTCGTAAGTTACGAATGAAGATTACTCCTGTACTATGCTTTTCTCTTACTAATTGCAAGCGTCTGTAACAAACGTTTCATATTCTTTAGGGCTGAGGTTATCAATAATACTAAACAAATTGCAATGCCTCCCGATAAAACATTTTCCGGAAGTCCTTACCCATTTGGAGTTGATCCTGTATGCGCTTTAAACAGTTCTTAAGGCCAAATCATTACTGAAATAACAGTTACTTTTATCGCATATAAACGATTATACCCGTATTATCTATTTACAAGTGTTTTCTCACTAATTTCCTTGTCTATCTTTCAGATTTGGCAGCTGGCACTTAATAAGTTGACATTCTTAAACTCGTTTAAGATGAAGTTATCGGTGATTTTAGGCATTACTCATATGCTGTTTGGTGTTATCCTTAGCCTGTTTAACCACGTGTAAGTAGAAAAGTTGGTTTACTTTTTTTTTCATTTCTGCTAGTAATTGCAGTAGTATGACATATATAACTACTCTATCCCTCTTGGCTGCTTTTAAATTTTTATACCATTTCTAAACTTATTATTTGATGGTTTATTTTGCACAGATACTTTAAGAATCGTGTCAACATTGTAATGGTATTCATACCTGAGGTACAGTAATATTCGGTATCAGACCAGAACTATATCCCTTTTTCTAATACCTATTATTAACCGAAATACCTGCGTCATTAGGTGATATTTCTGCTATCCATATTTGGTTACTTGGTGATAATGATCTTTTACAAATGGTGTATTGTTACCACTTTCTCTGAAAGGGTAAGCAGATAAATTAATTTTATAGTTATTAAAGATTTAGGCTTCTAAGAATCTAGCATATGGACTTGTTTAGAAACCAAGCTTATTAATTACACTCATAAACATGGTATTAAGTATTGGAACCGTGAAAAAAGATCAGCAACTGTATACGGGGCAGGTATGAGGAAGTTTAGTGATAGATAATAGAATTTAGAATTTAGATGACATCTTGTCTTCGTTTTCACTTTAATAGGCTGGCGTACAAGTATTTTTAGTTGTTTTGGCCGTTATATGCGTACCATGGATGTTGCTTGGTAAACCCCTATATCTTTACTATCGTCACAAGCATGTCTATAAGCGCTCAGGGGTACTTATAATTTGATTATTCTCATATTAATGGTTAAATTTTCAATTTAGATTAAATGTTAATGTATTATTGCAGAATTATTCTTTAATCAATGACAACACTGCAATAAACGACGATGATCCTCTATTAGATGAACAACCCTCCGAAGAAGCAGCTGAAGTACGTTCTCACATTTTGTAAACGTTGTGTGTCAAATGATCAATCTTTTTACTTAGATTTTTTATATCTTGCAGCCGATTGGTAACGAATTTGAATTTGGTGAAATTTTTATAAACAATGCCATCCATACTATTGAGTACGTGCTGGGATGCATATCGAATACTGCGTCATATTTACGATTGTGGGCTTTAAGTTTAGCTCATGCAGGTAAACGCATCATTTGCTATAATTATTTTATATGGATTGTTCAATAGACGTTTACTCAATTTTTGTAATGTTAACTTGTAATAGAGTTATCTGAAGTATTGTGGAACATGGAAATTAGCAAAATTATTAATTTAAAGATAGGACATGCAGGAGCCTTTGTTTTGTTTGGCGCATTTGCTGGATGGGCAGGTCAATATATAGTAATTAAATACTAACGATAAATAATGCAGCATGTCATCATTGAAGGATATGTCTTGTTTATGTTGGAAATTGTTACTACGCTTTTATAGGCAGTACAGTAGCAATCCTATTGGTAATGGAAGGCTTATCTGCTTTTTTGCATGCCTTACGATTGCACTGGTAAGCATATCAATAACCTAATATGTTTGTTAACGTAAATGCTTAATTTAGAAATAATCAATGAACAAAATACTCGTTCTTCTTACCAGGGTCGAGTTTCAGAATAAGTTTTACTCCGGGATGGGATATTTATTCCAACCGTTTACTCTTGATGTCGAAGAGTGGGAAGACGAAAACTGAGAAGATTTATAAAATTTACCTAGCCTTATTAGTAATAGATTTTCATATCTTGTTCAGGGTTAGATTCTAGACTCACAACTCCGTCCTCACGTTAAATCAACTAGTTGTTGTGGTCAACTCTTGTCTATCACCGGCATGGATATACGTATTCATTAAAACAGAAGTTAACTATAATATTTGCAGATCTTGTTCACTGCTATCAAGGACACACCTAATTTGCAGAAAATTCGATGTTGTTTTTGCTAATGCAGTGATAGAAAATTACATTTTATGGGGTACAAATTGTTAAATGGAATCTATATATTTCTAGCCTCATTATGTGCAAAGAATTAATTGAGTTAAATTCGCAGTGCACGCGTTGTTTATTAAAACTTATCAATTTCTTTAAATAAAATACTGGTACTAGCAAGTATGTTAATTAACTATACAATCTGTACTGTGTCTACCTGTGATATATATGGCAAGATGAGTTAGCCTATGTACGCGTAATATTGAGTACTATGGCATTGCATTCAGAAATGACGTCAACTAGATGCTATAGGGAATGATTTACATATTATTAGAGTTCATACGGTTAGCGCAACTTTCTTTACATAATATTTAAGCCTAATATCACATACGTTATTTAGCGTAAAACTGAAGTAAAAAGGTAGTAAATGCATTCAGTCAGCAATAAACTACATTATACCTCTTCATATATTGTTTTCAATTTTACTTCTAATAAGAAGCTGACGATTAGAGTGATCCCATGGTCTTTACATGTCTTGCGATAGAAATCAATTTTCGTAACTGGCATGAATACTTTGTTGTACAAATATATAGAATTGAAGCTATAACGCGGGTTATACAAAGATCGGTTTGTAACTACATGTTACTATAAACCATTTGATTAGAGCATCATATACTGTACTCTTACAGCTTGGATGCTCGATGACTTATTTCGATCGCTCAAGCTGAAGTGCTTCTAGACATCTTGATATACCGAAGCACTAACATAAATATGTCATCAACTAGCAGTACGCTTACCAGACTGTACGTACTTACGTGTAGATATCCTTATAGCTTTCCCTCTTACCACACTATCAGCACAATGTAAAACATGCTTTTCTATTTTGCACTTTCATCATACTACCGTTTAAAGCAATCCATAAATCAACTGCCACTTTTATGTAACTCATTACTGTACCGCAGTCTACAGTAAACTAATTTATATAAAATTACAACAACTACTGCTGCTAGGTTTTAGATATATAATACTTGTAACTTCCCTACCTTCTGTCAACCCAACTTAAAATACGCTGCTTTATTTTGTAACTGTATCATGCTATCACTTAAATTATTCCTTCAATTCTATCTAAATTAATCTACCGATATCAGTCTAGTTTTAACGACCTCGCTATTAGCAATCCAAGTACCGCGTTTCTAGCCAGCGTAACACGGGTGTAACCTATCTATTTTCCATGTATAATTACTTCTTACCATCGGCAGGCAGAGAATGGCGGCTCATGCTTGAATTTTTTCTTAAATCAAAAGCAGGCCTCTTTACACCCTGATCTACCTACAAACTACATTAATATAAATATGCCTTTGATAGATAATGTGTCCACTAAATTAAAAATTGGCGTAGTTTCTGACTCAATGTAGCTAACCAATGTTTGTCTATGGCATCTTGATCTCCATACAAACTACACTAATATAAACATGCCGCCAACGAACAATTATAATGCACTCGCAAGACAACAGATTTGCCTGATGACTAAGTCAATGTAGGTAACCGATGCTTGAACTGCATACAATATTATGCAACCTATGCAGATAATACAAATACTGCATGAGCAATAAATCTACCTACTCCCTGATCTACATAGAAATTACCCCAGTATAAACATGCCATCAACGAATAATTAATGCGCCTGCTAGATTGCCAAATCGCCTAATCATAACTCAATGTCGCTAACTGATACTTGAATTGTATACCATACTATGGCAACTGGGCAGACTATACAAATGCAGTATGGGTAAGAAGAAAATCCGCATACTCATGTTACTGTTGCTATGACATTGTTGCCCCTAGCAACAAGATTATCATCTAATCAAACGCATTATTGCAATTTATTAGGATATACAGTAGAAATCTTAAGTAATTTTTATAATACAGTCAAAAACTTGATCAAGGCAGAAGCCAATTTGATGCTATAACTGTTGAAGAAATCAACTAATTGACTTGATCAAACTGAAAGAGAAAATTTCCCCCCAGTCTATGGATATTGGTTATTGCAAACTCCAATTGAAGCTGAATTGAGCTGTGGGAATTTAGTCCATCGCAATTGAATTAATATCAGTGAAAATCTGATATTAATCGACCATTATAATCATGGAGAATCAGGTAATTAGGATAATTATATAGAGAGTTACATTTCGTTGATGAAGATAGAGATAGTAATAAAGGATAGGTGTAATAATAGGCATACTATCGGCATGGATATCGTATTCGATTTTGTTTTTCACCAAGTAGGATAGATGAAATAGTATACTATTAAGATCGTGCTATCACTTGTTATTTCCTATCATAATTATCGAAACAGCAGCATTCATTGCTTACTATTATGGGGCGTACTAGAAGAAGTTGTTGTCAACGATAAATTAACAGTCCCCATACAATAACTTTGGATAGTTAAATAGCTATTTTAACCTCGATGAGATAGCTAAAATTACATTTCTACGCATACTTATAAAATATACAACATAACCATAAACTTTATCAAAATTAATCCAACATGGCAGATGGTAAAGTTGCACTTGAACGCTAAATCGAATAACTGAACAGTAAAAGAGTAGATTACAATTCTTGGATTATCTTAATTGTCCTTGACTATACTGATGTTATGGCATTTTTTCTTATGTCACTATAGTTATTTCCGCAAGCGAAAACACATGGCAAAAAGACTGGCTCACCTCTTACTTATTTGCCATCACTTTCAGAAGTAAATAACATACTCGGATAGAATATCTATGCACTTGATCTAGTCCAATAATGATTCTGTCCTCTATAGCATTGATTCATCGTAGAAAGTAGATTACCGTCGTATTGACATCTAACTATCAATGCGAATTAGTGCTATCGGATATGAAACAATCACAAGTGTATTAGTATGTTACTATAGAGATCGATGACGAATAGTGAAAAAATAAATCTAGTTTTTTATGTTAGAGAAGAAGGATTTACTGTCCTTTCTATTCTCCTATATGGAGACTTTTTTTCTATGAAGATCAATGGACGGCTACGGTATCGGTTAGAATGAAAAGAATTCATATGAGATTAAATCATATTTTATTACATTTTACATCATGTAGAAACGAGTTAAACCATCGTGGAAGAATTTTTCGCCATCGTTCACATTGGATGTAGATGGCACTCAGAATGGTCCTGAACCTGAATTAAATGGAAGATTAAAAGCGAAATACACAACAGGTAAAAAGAAAATTGGGGGCACTTTTTAGAACAGCGGAAAGGCATTTCGTGGCAATGCTATCTATATATTATTTGGATAAACGAAGACGATAATATAACTATTTTGATCATCTCTTTCCATTTTACTTTAGGCAATCCTGTCATTAAAAAAGATCGCCATAGTAAATCAAAGTCATGGGATCCAACTAAAAGTAAGAATGAGGGTAAACAGGCAGCAGCAAATGGCCACACTACCGCTCCATCCAGGAAGTTTATTCAACCTAAAAGAGATCGTGAAAATTTTCGTAGCGCCATCGTAAATATTATCATGTAAGATGATCATTTAAAAATGAAGAGAAAAAGCTCTAGGAATAGCACCGACAACAGATGGATAACGCCATTTTTTTTCTATTTCCTTAGGCGAGAAGAATCCCCTCCTTCAACACCTTCACTTCTCGATGGCGAATTACCGCCCATTACTCGCTCCGGTTCGCCTAATTCAGCAGAGAAAGATATTCTGGTACGTAGTTCTCCATCACTTCATGCAATTGAATTCCATATCAATTAAATTTTTATCGTCTTACCAATTCCTCCACTTTTTTTTCTTCTTTCTTTCCTCCACTTCCATCCTGAAATTAATTCATTATCACCATTTTACAGCGCTATTATTACTATATACACAATGGTATTGACACAGAGCATGTAGCACCTATGGAAGATCAATGGCTTAACAATGTTCTGTCATTAATTTCTGAACGTCTGAAGGTTAATAGCAACAAATTTGACGATTCATAATATTCATAGAACAACGTAGTTAAACATGCTTGGAAAAGAGTGATTATTCTTTTGATTTCACCGGTTATCCTTGAAAGAAATATACTCATTTTCTGTTCCTTCTTAGCTTGATCGTGATAAAAGTATCGAATTACTATCGGACGAAATGAGAGAAGATTACTTATTAAGCGTTAAAAAAGCAATCGGTTAGTAGTTTGAGCAAGTTACTACGAGTAAAAGCAGTCTATAGGGATAGATCTAAACCTGTCGATGGTATTTCTTTTTCAGTTGATTTTGTTCTCAAAGATCCAAGAGAGAATACGGATGCAGAAAAAGAAGAAGTACTGCCCTATAAAGCAGAGTAAGTTCCTAATGATCCAGTTTGTATAGTTTTTTTTTCTCTCTCTCTCTTTCTCTTGAATTAGAAGTTATCCATGCTTACTCAGTCAATATTTTGTACCAAAAAATAGGTTAGAAAAAGTACCAAAACCATGGGCAAAATCTTATATCGTCGGTAGGACCGTGATCCTACAAGAGCTCCATATTACAAATCCTACCATGGCAGCAGTCTTGGACTTGTGGTATAAAAACTACGGGTTAGTGATCGAGAATAATTCGCCCAATCTATTCCACAGTTTCCTATGCTATTGCTTTGATGCTTACAAAACGAAAATCTCAAAATGGCAACTTTTTATCGCCTAGTATTGATCATTCTTTACCTTATCCATCATATAACAACATCTCTTATGGACTGTGCCTTGCATAGCGATACTTTTAAAACTTAACTTGAGAAAATCATTTATGATTCCGATCGCATTGATGATAATATTTTAAATATCCATTTATTCCTGATGATTAGAGATTTACGCCTGATCTCAGTTGAAGAAATACGCCAGCTGCCCGATTCAATGGAATTACCTTTCTTTCAAAATTTAATTATGCAACACATAGAAAGTACCAAGGATACTCTAACGAAGAGGTAAAGGAAAATTTTACTTATAGATCTTGAAATCGATAGCCTTCAAAGGATGGCGGTTTTATCATTTGTATGCGTACCAGTGTAATTTCTTTTTCAATCCAATGTCTAATTAACATCTTTATTCTGACCCTTTCAAGATGGTTTCCAGCTATACAAAATATATTTTATCAAGGCAATAAGCGAAAGCAGGTGCCATCCAACCAAAGCCCTCGACGATTAGATTCTTTCTTCAATGCCGCCGCTACACTCATGGGCAATCACTTACAAAATTTAGCTTTAAATTCGCTATCGGATTATATGGAAATGTTTTCGCCGAATGAAATGTCTGTTCTTGCTTATCCTAATCCTGGTTTTGTAATCCGATTGATTGTGGAAGGAACACGTTTAAAATTTGAGCCTGATTTCGAAGACTTCGAGGCTATTTTACTCAATGTTTGTGATATCATCATTAAAGCCGTCTCAGTCATTCCAAGAGTAGAGACAAAATTATATCAAGACATATCAGGGATTGGTAAAACTCATCTAAAACCAATCATCTTGGAGGAGATTTTAGTGGCTACCAAAGATAGAATCAAAGAAATTATTTGGCATGAATCACTTGGGCCTAAACAATTTGCTAAAAACTTTAATAAATACGAGTTTTTAACCTTGAAACAGGTTCATAACATAATTTTAAAGACATAGTTTGAGTTAGAATCGGATCTAAGTAGGCTAAGATTTTCATAAAATAGGTTAGTAAACATTTTGAACGCTTTCTTTAGGCTGATGATGATGTGGAGAAATTCTTAAACGAAGACCATAGTTTCAAGGAATACATGAAGGTATTTCAATAACTCATGGATTAGCTCTCTGAATTGCTGAGCTTATCCATTAAATTGAGGGGTATTTTGGGATATTTTAGGAAGTAGAGAAATATAGAAATGTCATGGAAGATATTATTTATAAGATGCGGAGAGTAATTCGCCTAGGAATGTTTGAATTACATTGTGATGAAGCAATTCGTTCCCTCTCGAAGAGAGCAGAAAGTCTTAGCACAAGACTACTACGAACAATGTCCGACAAGCATCAGGAATTGAATAAGAAGTAAGTCAGGAAATGCATGGACTGAAATTAGTTTATAACGAGTTGAGCCCAAAAGAATAACGATAATGTTTTTGAAATTATAGACTCTGTGCTGAGTACGAAAAAATAGCTGAAAAAGCGCTCATGTCGCCAACAAACACTCAACACTTGATGGAATTAAAGGTTAGAATATGCAATCCAGTAACCCTTATGGAATCAATTATTTGAAAAGTATCCATTTCCTTCTTGGTGTAACTAAGTTGTCAATATCTTTTCGTCTTCGTAAACGATTGTTTCTCGTAGGAATATATTGAAAAAGTGGAACTGGATACTGTATTTGATCTAGAAGACGATTTAGTCGATGCTAAAGACAGGCTGTCCTATTTGGTAAGTCATAAAAAGTATTACTGGATTTATTTCTCTATAGATTAATGGCTAAATTTGATGGTTAATGAATCCATCTTCTCATTATCGTAGGCCGACTATGTCTCCTTCTCACCAGCAGAGATGAGACAAAATAGCAACACCTTCCAATGGCATGATCGAATGTCGCAAATCTTCAGCGAGCATAAATCTATCATTAAATCTAGCAGAGTCCAATTTGAAAATAGCTTAAAAGTAAGTTTAGGTGCTTGCTATTACTGTATCTACTTTAAAGCTAATGTATCCTTTCTTCACTCTTTCTTTAAATAGCTGAGACGAGAAAGATTTATCGAAGAATTGGAAGGATATAATAAACAATTGGAAGAATTTAAGGTAATGATGACAAAAATTGTTGATTCTCGTTTGGGATTATTCCTTTTAATTGGATATTATTTTCAATTAATCTGTTGAAATACGCTTTCATTAAATAACGTTGTCTCCATACTTTTACCTAAATTCATCGCTCTCTTTAGTCATTTGGCGATATCCAAGATATCCATCGATACCTGAAGAAAGCACAAGCACTAAATACTCGACTAGAAGCAGCTGCTGATAAAATTGATGCCTTCAATAAAGAAGAGGAAGCATTCGAGTGGCAATGTACTCAATATCCACTACGAAATCAAATTCTCAATACGCTCAATCCCTACTTACGATTATATGAGCAAACAGTTAACTTCCAAAATAAATATAAATCATGGTGGGATGGTCCTATTCATGAAGTGGATCCTGATAATGTCGAACAAGAGGTTGGTGCTTTCTATCGTGGACTGTATAAATTGGAGAAAACATTTGCAGATTTACCAGCTCCCAAGAAAATCGCTACCAAAATTAGAAGCAAAGTGGAAGACTTTAAACAACATTTACCACTTATTTCTGTCTTGTGCAATCCTGGACTTCGTGATCGCCATTGGGATGATATGGCTGCTCATACTGGATATCCCATTAAACCGGATAACGAAGCCACTCTTTCAAAGATGGTTAGCTTAAATTTAGATTCCTATCTGCCGCAATTTGAAGGAATCAGCGAAGCAGCCAGTAAAGAATATGCTCTAGAAAAAGCTCTAGCCAAGATGAACGTTGAATGGGAAGATGTTTTATTTAAAATTATCCCCTATCGTGAAACTGGTACTTATATCCTCACATCGATCGATGATATCCAAACTTTATTAGACGACCACATCGTTAAAACCCAAACTATGCGTGGATCACCGTTTATCAAGCCTTTCGAGGAATCCATTCATAAGTGGGAAAGTACATTGATCCTTCTACAAGATGTTCTCGATGAATGGTTGAAAGTCCAAGCTACTTGGCTCTATCTTGAGCCCATCTTTAGCTCGCCAGATATTATGGCGCAAATGCCGGAAGAAGGAAGACGATTTAGTACCGTGGATAAACATTGGCGAGATATTATGAAAGCGGTCTTTGCTGATCCACATGTCTTAGCCGTAGCTGAAATTGATAAACTAGCAGAAAGATTGAAAAAATCCAACGAATTACTAGAATTAATCCAGAAAGGACTGAATGAATATCTTGAAAAGAAACGATTATATTTTCCCCGTTTTTTCTTCTTATCCAATGATGAATTATTGGAAATTTTATCGGAAACGAAAGATCCTACACGTGTTCAACCTCATCTTAAGAAATGTTTTGAAGGAATTGCTCGTTTAACTTTTACTGAAACTCTGGAAATTACCCATATGCAAAGCAGTGAAAAAGAAATTGTACCGCTAACAGATGCTATCTCCACTTCTAAAGCGCGAGGACAAGTGGAGAAATGGCTGTTAGAATTAGAAGGCATCATGATTAAAAGTATTCGCAAAGTTATCGCCGATGCCCGCGATGCCTACGTTAATTCAGCTAGGAATCAATGGGTAACCGATTGGGTTGGACAATCTGTCTTGTGTGTTTCACAATTATATTGGACCAGCCAAGTCCATGAAGCCATTCGAGAAGGCCATGATAAAATGAAAGACTATCTACAAAAATGTAATAATCAACTGAGTGATATTGTCGAATTAGTGCGTGGTAAATTATCCGCTCAAAATCGCGTTACATTAGGCGCTTTGGTAGTGCTAGAAGTCCATTCTCGCGATGTCTTGAGTAAATTAATTGATGATAAAGTAAGCAGTGAAACTGATTTTCAATGGCTTAGCCAATTGCGCTATTATTGGGAAAGCGAAAGTTTAATTACCAGGATGATTAATTCCACTTTAGCCTATGGCTATGAATATTTGGGCAATACAGGCCGCTTAGTAATAACGCCCTTGACGGATCGATGCTATCGAACCTTATTTGGAGCTCTTCATTTGCATTTAGGTGGTGCACCAGAAGGTCCTGCAGGCACAGGTAAAACTGAAACAGTCAAGGATCTTGCCAAAGCGGTTGCTAAGCAATGTGTGGTATTTAACTGTTCAGATGGCTTAGATTACATTGCTTTAGGTAAATTCTTCAAAGGTTTAGCATCTTGTGGTGCTTGGTCTTGCTTTGATGAATTTAACCGTATCGATTTAGAAGTATTATCCGTTGTCGCTCAGCAAATTTTAACTATCCAACGAGGCATAAATCAAGGCCTGGATACTTTATTATTTGAAGGCACTGAAATTAAATTAGATCCTACTTGTTCTGTATTCATTACTATGAATCCTGGCTATGCTGGTCGATCTGAATTACCGGATAACTTAAAAGCGTTATTCCGTACAGTAGCCATGATGGTACCCGATTATGCTATGATTGCTGAAATAGTTTTATATTCCTTTGGTTTCGTCACAGCTCGACCTCTTTCGGTCAAGATTGTAGCAACCTATCGCTTATGTTCCGAACAATTATCATCCCAACATCATTATGATTACGGTATGCGAGCTGTTAAATCGGTTTTAACTGCTGCTGGCAACTTAAAACTTAAATATCCCGACGAAAATGAAGATATTCTCATGCTACGTTCCATCCAAGATGTCAACTTGCCCAAATTTCTATCGCATGATCTGCCATTATTCGAGGGCATTGTATCTGATTTATTTCCTGGTGTTAAACTACCTAAGCCAGACTATGCTCTTTTATCCGCTGCAATCGAAGATAATTGTAAACGAATGAATTTACAATTAACCGATACCTATTTAACCAAGATTTTGCAATTATACGAAATGATTACCGTTCGCCATGGGTTGATGATTGTTGGTGAACCTTTTGGAGGCAAGACCTCAGCTTATCGGGTATTAGCAGCTGCACTCTCCGATATTGCTGATCGTGGATCACTCAACGAAAATAAAGTACAAATCACCGTCATTAATCCTAAATCCATTACCATGGGCCAACTATATGGATGCTTCGATCCCGTATCCCATGAATGGTCAGATGGTGTTTTAGCAGTTAGCTATCGCGCATTTGCTACTTCAACCACTCAAGATCGTAAATGGTTAGTCTTCGATGGTCCTGTCGATGCTATTTGGATTGAAAATATGAATACTGTATTAGATGATAATAAAAAATTATGCTTAATGTCTGGTGAAATTATTCAGCTAGCACCAACAACCAACTTGATATTTGAGCCAATGGATTTGGAAGTAGCCTCTCCAGCTACTGTAAGTCGCTGTGGCATGATTTATATGGAGCCACAAATGCTCGGTTGGCGACCTCTAATGTTATCATGGCTGAATAATTTACCTAAGACCATGAATAGTGATCATAAATTGTTAATGACAAGTTTATTTGATCGCTTAGTACCACCTGCATTGCAATTTATCCGTAAAGGCGGATTTAAAGAAATTTCAGCAACTTCCGATACTAATTTAGTCAACTCATTAATGAACTTGATGGATAGTTTAATGGATGAATTCCGCGATGAAGTTAAATTTACAACGCTGTCTGAATACGAAATCAACTCATGGATCGAGTGTATCTTTTTATTTTCTTTTGTATGGTCCATTGGAGCAACTATTACCGAAGATGGCCGAGTTGTATTTGATACTTTACTACGTGATCTTATGCAAGAAGGTTTATACGATGACAAAGGCAAAAAATATGGTATTAGCATCACCGTTGAGCCACCTATTCGACCATTTATATGCCCTTTCCCAGATGAAGGACTTGTTTATGATTATCGATTTATTAAAGAAGGGCCTGGACGATGGGAAGCTTGGACCGATACAATCAATCAATCAGCTGCTATTCCAAAAGATATTACATTTAATCAAATTATCGTGCCCACCATTGATACTGTCCGCTATAGTTATTTAATGGAAACATTATTAACCCATGATAAGCCGACGTTGGTTGTTGGCCCGACAGGTACTGGAAAATCGACCTATATCCAAGATTTCTTATTAAATCGCCTACCAAAGGATACTTATCGACCTGTATTTATCAACTTTTCCGGACAAACTACAGCTAATCAAACTCAAGATATTATCATGTCTAAGTTGGATAAAAGACGTAAAGGTATCTATGGTCCACCATTAGGGAGGAGGACCATCGTCTTTGTCGACGATGTTAATATGCCGGCTCGCGAAATCTATGGAGCGCAACCACCAGTTGAATTATTACGCCAATTCCTCGATCATAAAATGTGGTATGATCGCAAAGATAATACACAGCAAAAATTGATTGATATCCAATTAATTTGTGCTATGGGACCACCCGGAGGTGGCCGTAATCCAGTTACTCCGCGATTTTTACGCCATTTCAATCAAATCACCATCAACGAATTCCAAGATGAAACTATGGATCTGATCTTTACCACTATCATCAATTGGCATCTTCAAACGCAAAACTTTAGCGAAGAAGTAACCGGATTTGGTAGTAAAATCATCTCAGCTACCAAAGCAATCTATCATAGTGCTATGAAAAATCTACTACCTACGCCTGCTAAATCGCATTACTTATTTAATTTGAGAGATTTCGCAAGAGTGATTCAAGGTGTTGCTTTATCGTCACCTGAAGTTATCACAACAACGGATGAGCTGAAAAGGTTATGGACTCATGAAGTCTATCGTGTCTATTATGATCGATTAATTGATGAAAAGGATAAAAATTGGCTATTTGAAACGATTAAGGGTGTCCATAAAGATCAATTAGGCTCTGATTTCTACGACTTATTCCACCAATACGATTTAAATCAAGATGGTAACATTTATGAAGACGATCTCAATAGTTTAATCTATTGCGATTTTATGGATCCCAAATCTGATTTTAAGCATTATATAGAAGTCGATAATTTAGATAAATTACGATCAGTTGTCGAAACTTATCTGGATGAATACAACAATATGAGCAAAAAACCAATGAATCTGGTACTCTTTAGATTTGCAATTGAGCATGTATCTAGAATTGCAAGAGTTCTCAAGCAACCTCGAGGGCATGCTTTATTAGTTGGAGTAGGAGGTAGTGGACGCCAAAGTTTAACACGTCTTGCAGCACATATCTGCGATTATGAATTATTCCAGGTCGAAATGACCAAAAGCTATTCAACTCTAGAATGGAAAGAAGATCTTAAAAGGGTTCTACGAAAAGCTGCTGAAGGGGATGTACCATGTGTATTCCTCTTTGCTGATACACAAATAAAGCAAGAATCGTTCTTAGAAGATGTCAGCAACATCTTAAATACAGGTGAAGTTCCTAACTTATTCCCAGCCGATGAAAAACAAGAAATTTGCGAAAAAATGAGACAAATTGATAGAATGAGAGAGAAATCGAGACAAACTGATGGTTCTCCGTTAGCTCTGTTTAGCCTCTTTGTAGAACGCGTCAGAAATAGCTTACATATCGTGCTAGCTATGAGCCCAATTGGTGAAGCATTCCGTAATTATCTTAGGAAATTTCCATCTCTTGTTAATTGCTGTACTATCGATTGGTTTCATTCTTGGCCAGAAGATGCTTTACATATTGTTGCTCAACGCTTCTTGGAAGACACTGATCTCAGCGAAAATATTCTTAAAGGTTGCGTTAACATGTGTAAATTATTCCACAAATCAACTAGTGACTTATCAGCGGCATATCTAGCAGAATTAGGTCGTTATAACTATGTTACACCAACATCTTACCTTGAGCTGATCAGCACTTTTAAGGCATTGTTGAATAAGAAACGAAGTGAAGTCATGAAAGCCAAACGCCGCTACGAAATAGGTCTTGAGCAACTTGTTTCCGCAGCAGATCAAGTATCAGCCATGCAATTAGAATTGGAAAATCTACAACCTCAACTTAAGCAAGCATCCAAAGAGGTTGACGATATCATGGTCGTTATTGAGGCAGAGTCCATTGAGGTTTCTAAAACTGAGAAAATTGTTAAAGGAGATGAAGCAATAGCGAACGAGCAAGCTAAAGCAGCTAAGGCTATCAAAGATGAATGTGATGCAGATTTAGCTGAAGCTATGCCAGTACTAGAAGCTGCATTATCTGCACTAAACACATTAACACAACAAGATATCACCTTCATTAAAACCATGTTAAATCCTCCACAGGGAATCAAGTTAGTCATGGAGGCAATTTGTATTTTAAAAGGAGTCAAACCAGCTCTATCTGTCGATAATGCCACCGGCAAACGCACTGAAGATTATTGGGCTCCAGCTAAGCGATACCTACTAGGAGATTCAAATCTACTACGTTCATTACAAAATTATGACAAGGATAATATTCCATCCAATGTTATAAGAAGAATTAATGAACGATATATCGCCAATCCAGACTTTGATCCTGAAAAAATTAAAGCCGCATCTATTGCTGCAGAAGGTCTATGCAAGTGGGTTATTGCAATTAGCCGCTACGATAAAGTGGCACGATTGGTAGCTCCTAAGAAAGCAGCATTAGCTGAAGCTGAAAAAGAGCTAGCGAAAGCTATGGATGCATTAGAAATAAAGAGAGCTAATCTTAGAGAAGTCCAAGATCGATTAGCTAGTCTGAGAGAAAGATTTGAAGCAAACACTCGCAAAAAGGAAGATTTAGAAAATCAAGTTGAACAATGCTCGAAAAAATTAGATAGAGCGAGGCAATTATTAGGTGGTCTTGGAGGTGAAAAAGATCGCTGGAGTGAAACAGCGCTGAAACTTGGTGAAACTTACTCTAACTTAACTGGTGATACTTTAATATCATCCGGTGTTGTATCTTACTTAGGAGGATTTACATCTGCTTATCGCCAAAATCAAATCAATAAATGGGTTGATTTATGTAAACAAGAAAATATTCCTTGTTCACCAGAGTATTCTTTAACAACAACATTAGGTGATAGTGTTAAAATTCGTCGATGGAATATTGCAGGATTGCCTACCGATTCATTTTCCGTTGAAAATGCTATCATTATCACCAATTCTCGCCGATGGCCTTTAATGATCGATCCACAAGGTCAAGCTAATAAATGGGTTAAAAATATGGAAAAAATCAACAATTTACACACCATTAAATTATCCGATAATGATTATATCAGAACGTTGGAGAATTGTATACAGTTTGGAACACCGGTGCTTCTCGAAAATGTTGGCGAGGAACTTGATCCCATTTTAGAACCATTATTGTTAAAGCAAACTTTCAAGCAGGGTGGTAGTATTTGCATTCGATTAGGCGATAGCACTATCGAATATGCCAAGGATTTCAGATTCTACGTCACAACTAAATTGCGAAACCCTCATTTCTTGCCGGAGACAGCAGTAAAAGTTACTTTACTCAATTTTATGATCACTCCAGAAGGATTAGAAGATCAATTGCTTGGTATCGTAGTAGCTAAAGAAAAACCAGAATTAGAAGAAGAAAGAAATGGATTAATCGTTCAAAGTGCTGAAAATAGAAAACAGCTAAGAGAAATCGAAGATAAAATCCTAGAGTTGTTATCAGGCTCAGAAGGTAATATTCTAGAAGATGAAACAGCTATTACTGTTTTATCCTCTTCCAAGGCTCTATCTAATGAGATATCTGAAAAGCAAGCCACTGCTGACGAAACTGAACGAGAAATCAACATAGCACGACTTAAATATAAACCGATAGCTGAGCATTCGTCCATTTTATTCTTTACTATCGCCGATCTTGCCAATATCGATCCTATGTATCAATATTCTCTAACCTGGTTTGTTAATCTTTATGTTCACGCTATCGAAAATTCTGCAGCTTCCGAAGACATTACTACCCGATTAAAAAATCTAACAGACCATTTTACTTATTCACTCTATTGCAATGTATGCCGATCACTCTTTGAAAAAGATAAGTTATTATTTTCTTTCCTACTGGGTGTCAACTTATTGCGAAGTAGGAAAGAAATTGAAGAAATAGAATGGCGATTTTTATTAACTGGCGGTATCGGTCTTGACAATCCTAATGAAAATCCAACAACGTGGTTGCCTGCAAAAGCATGGGATGAAATCTGTCGCTTGGATGAATTACCTAATTTCAAAGGGATACGCACTCGATTCTCCATTTATATTGAAAGATGGAAAGAGATCTATGATAGCTTTGAACCACAAAATGAAGAATTACCTGGTGATTACTCTAGCAAACTACATCGATTCCAGAAATTGTTAATACTTCGCTGCTTACGACCAGACAAAGTGATACCTGCTGTACTCGACTTTGTAGCGGATAAACTAGGCAAAATGTATGTGGAACCGCCACCATTCGACTTGGGGAAAGCATTTGCTGATTCACATTGTTGTACACCATTAATATTTATATTGTCGCCGGGTGCAGATCCAACAGTTGCCTTGCTTAAATTTGCTGATGATCAAGGATTCGGTGGAAATCGATTTACTACGCTTTCTCTAGGGCAGGGTCAAGGCCCAATTGCTATGAAAATGATTGATAGAGCGGTAAAAGAAGGATCCTGGGTTATGTTACAAAATTGTCATTTAGCAGCTTCCTGGATGCCAACTCTTGAAAGGATTTGCGATGAAATGAATCCAGATACAACCCATCCAGATTATCGCTTATGGCTAACGAGTTATCCATCCAAAGATTTCCCTGTAGCTGTATTGCAAAACGGTGTCAAGATGACTAATGAACCACCAAAAGGCTTGAAATTAAACGTTTTAAGATCATATAATACCGATCCTGTCAATGATCCAAGCTACTTTGAAAGTGTCAAGCAAGGTAAATCGTGGAAAAAATTGCTCTACGGTCTTTGCTTTTTCCATGGACTTGTACAAGAACGACGTAAATTCGGAGCTTTAGGATGGAATATACCTTATGAATTTAATGAAACAGATCTCCGCATTAGTGTCCAACAACTCCATATGTTCTTAAACGATTATGAAACAGTGCCATTCGACGCTATTCGATACTTGACAGGAGAATGCAATTATGGTGGTCGTGTAACGGATGATCGAGATCGACGTTTAATAAAATGCATCTTGAATAAATTCTACAATCAAGATATCATTATAAATGATAAATACACATTTTCTCAAAGTGGATCTTATTATGCACCAGCTGAAGGAAAATATGAGAGTTACTTGGAATATACTAAATCTTTACCAAGTGCTGCCCGTCCAGAGGTATTTGGATTACATGCTAACGCTGACATTACCAAAGATCAAAAGGAAACTTATTCATTATTTGACAGTATACTTTTAACTCAAGCAAAAACGACAACTAGTCAAGGTAAATCAAGCGATGAAATTGTATCCGAAGTGGCTACTGATATTTTAGCCAAATTGCCATCTGTTTACGATACTGAAGCGGCACTACGCAAATTTCCGACAACTTATACACAAAGTATGAATACTGTTTTAGTTCAGGAAATGACTCGATTTAATCATTTAATTCAAACTGTTCATGCAAGCTTAGTTAATGTACAGAAAGCTATCAAGGGTTTAGTAGTAATGTCTGCTGATTTAGAGGAAGTAGTAAACAGCATTCTTAAAGGTAAAATTCCAAGTTTATGGATGAAAAAGTCATATCCCTCACTAAAACCATTGGGAAGTTATGTTAACGATTTACTACAACGATTAAAATTCTTCCAGGAATGGTATGAAATGGGAGAGCCCACTATTTATTGGCTATCTGGATTTTATTTTACTCAAGCATTCTTGACAGGAGCTCAACAAAATTTTGCTAGAAAATATACTATTCCAATTGATTTATTAGGATTTGATTATGAAGTCTTAGAGGATAAAGACTATGAAAACCCACCTTCAGATGGCGTCTATGTTCGTGGAGTATTCCTCGAAGGTAGTCGGTGGGATCGGCAGAAAAAGGCTTTAGCAGAATCGCATCCCAAAATACTCTATGATGGTATGCCTGTCATATGGCTTAAACCTTGCAAAAAAGAAGATATTCCAGAGCGTAAGGCTTATGCTGCTCCGGTATATAAAACGAGCGAACGACGAGGAACATTATCTACAACTGGACATTCAACTAATTATGTTATTAGTATGTCATTGCCAACGGAAGAGCCACCTGAGCATTGGATTATGAGAGGTGTTGCATTGCTCTGCCAGCTAGATAATTAAGTTTCAATACGTGATCCTTAACTAATTCAACAAAATGAATATAACCATTGGACTTTATATTCGTTTCAGCTTAAAATGTCAATTGACCATTTTTAAATATATGTGACATTATTAGTTAGAATAAATTAGATCATCATAACTTAATTTACACTATGTATGGTTTATACTTTTAGTTCATTTTTGACTTTAATAGAAGTATTTCTTGTACTTGAGGGTCTGCATCTGCTCGATTCGCAGCCCTATAACAATTACTATATCATGGTGCAATCACTGTTCTCTACGTATTAGCTTATATAGTGTAACATGAAGAAATCTTTGCTGGATACAGAAATGAAATATGGCTATCTTGTATATATTACATGTAATAATATCAGTCTCACCAAATTATTTTAAAATGGCAACATTTTTAGTCTACTCGAATTGTGAAAACTTTTATGATGTGCTTTATTTTATATTCAAAATTGAAAATTTCTCTACCCTCTTCATATCATTCATCGCCGTCATTTGACAGTATAAATCAAATGGCTATTAAAATTATGGTGAATATAATAACAAGAAAAATTTCTAACTTGATCTTCAATAGTTTATGCTAATTAGACTGCCCTCGAACAAGGCGATAGTAATTTTATACTAGCACATGTAATAATTAAGTCGTAGACTATTTGTATGACTATTTCTACTTCATCAATAAAGCTCTTATTAATTCCTAGCCAAGTTGTTAGTAAATTTCTACTTCTCTAGCAATGCTATAATTGCCAGACAGAAATGGATAATCTTTACTATGCCTGTTATAATTATAATATACTGATTACAACTGGGAATCTAGATTGAATAATAATATTAATAAGCCATCTAATATCGTTTCAATCAAGAATATCGAAAATTTAACATTGGCTTTGCAGTATTAATGCATGCATCTACAAAAGGTATTAACAAACTAGAAAGTACCATCTAATTTTTATACGCGTGTTATTTAATATTACAGTAAATGAGTCGATACAAACAGAAACTGCATAGTTTATTCTTAGATAATACCAAGAATTGAAGGTTTTATTAATTATGTTAAATCATTTACACGAATATCCAGCATCGTCTAAATTGCTTATGAAATTATATCAATTCTGCAATGCAATTATATAACTAAAATTTGGCTTAATACCGTTATTGAATAAATGTTACATTGTCTAATAAATCATTCACTAAATACTTGAGAAGTTAAAACCTAAATAAGATGCAGTTACAGGATTCAGTCTGAAAACGTTAATCTGGACAGGCAGATAAATCCACGATAGTTAATACCCGTACGCGTATGTTTCTGCAGCACTAGATAGTTATAGAACATACATATTGCAAAAGGAATAGTATTATACTTTAATCTTAATTTTAATTATATAACCATACATGTAGATCTAGAATTATGCTATATCAGAGATATATCTTAGTTCAATCTACATTACTACTTTTAGCCATTCAAGATTTAATTCAATGCTTATTTAGGTATGTCCAATGTCATCGCAAATGGCTACAGGAAAATCTTCAACAGTGGGTGCAGCACCATTCTAATGGTGATTACTATGGTTGGTTCCGTCAGTACAGTACCGTCCGATCCATGAAACCCAGTATATAGTACTGTACATACTACTGTACAGTACAGTACTGTACTGTACTGTACTACCATGGCAACAAGACAGACCCTGTGCAAAGAGAGACATGTGTACTGGCGTAGCCCTAGACGTAGGTTCGACTCAGGAGCGAGCCATAACAAGAAAGATGCAAAACACTGTTGAATCTTTCTCAAGTCTACTCTAGGCAGCCGAGCGAGAGGGTGGACCATCGAATTATTGTACTGTATGCTGACAGTGGACACAGATATAGTAGACTACTGATCAGCCAAGATGCAGAATGTGCAACAACCCAAAAAAAGGAAATTATCCGACGAGATCATTGCGGAAGATGAAGATTATCAACGTGATCCTGAGGTAATTTTTAACCATGATAGCACAACCTGTTGAGATGATCATTGCATGAAATTGTGGAAATAGTCCATCAAGCGCATCCAATCGTGGAAAGACTACGAAAAGTTAGGCCATCAACACTGCTCGTTTCTGCTATTGACAGTAGAGTACCATATCGGTTTGATGCAACAACATTTAAAATGGATTTATCTGGATAGTGCTGATGTAGTTGAATTGAATTTTATGCATTGCCTTTTACTCTTCTAGCCTTAAGCACCGTAGTACATGTGTACAGTACAACAGCAGAAGGGTACTGCTGTAGTCAGCTTCGTTATTCCATGACAGCTCTAGTTATGATGGCATAGATTATTCATGATTTGATTGTGTGCCCTTGTTAATCACGATCATCATTCTTTTCTCTTGCCTTTTAGCATCCGCGAAACTTAATACCTGAGATTTGCAGGTGCTGTATTGCAAAGTTAATTCATTGTTTGATATTCTGTCAGAAGCGGTGTTCATCCTTGGGCTTCTTTGTATAATAACATTGCCCTAACGATTCATGGATAGTCTTTAAAATTGTGTTTTATCAGCAATGGACCATCAGTTATAATTCTTATTGCACTTTGACATTCTTGAAGTACATGAGTCCCGTAGGCAATGTAGAATCCTGTAGTTTTCGTGCTATGGGACTTAACGTAGATTGTATTTTTTTACTTTGTGCATAACAACATTGGATAATATCGCCCTTCAACGCCGTACTGTACATCTACTGCAAATGAATATCCGATTAATAGCTACAATAATAATAATATGAGTGGACAAACATTCCGATCAGTATTGTCTCGAATATTTTGGTCCAATTAACGCGTCTTCAGTACAGCACTGCAGTATGAAAGAAATCAAAAGATAAAACTACGTTATTAATAGAAATGCGCTCAAGAGAAACAAATTAGCAATAAGATTATGAATTTCCACTAACTTTTAAGCGTATCGAAGCAGGCATACACACTATGCATTCTTATGACAGTAACTTGCGTTACTACTAGGTGCCTTATACTCTGTTTGTAAATGCCTGGTTTCAATCATAATGTTGTCGCCATTACAAATAAGCTTGTCTTTACATAGTGGGTAAAATTAGAAAACCTTTGCTGCAATTGTAAAGAAAATAATACATGCGTAATAGCTGTAGTATAGTCAAAGTTCCTAGATTACATTGGAGCATGCAGCAGGTAGAGTACTTCATCCAAAGCTTCACCAGATTATACCATTATTGAGTATCACCCTTTATTACTCTGAGAAATAATTGAGACATATCATAAAGGAAATAATTATTTGCTAGGTATACTGTATACTGTAATAATCGAACTACACAATAACATCTCGCTTGCTGAATTTGTTCTACAGTAGCAGCTTTACAGCTCTAACGATTGGCCATTTGCCTTCAATTGTTTCTTACAGGTTATTATACAGTCAGGAAGCAATGACGGGCTCTGGTGGTGCCATAAGCATGAGAAGAAAGTAAGTAGAAACTTCGTGGTTTATAGCAATTAGTGTCTATATATTACTTGATTCGTAGACGTCAGTGAAGTCTGCTATGAAAGGCATTATTTTGCTTTGTTGACCCTATCACGACCTGCTTGCATCCATGTACTTTATAGTAAGTTTTGTTTCGTAGCTATATTGGCGTTATGACTTTGACAAACTAGTTAACTGTAACTTTGCCCATACCTACATTAATTGACTTGCCAGTTTAAATTATAAAGGTTAGTAAATGCAAATTTATTAATCGAGCATCTAGACAGTGCAATCTTAACGCTCCTGAAAGCTTTTACACAAAAGTTATGCCACAATCATTGTACTGATAATCTTAACTTTAAACCCCTTAACAATTCGCCATGATTGATCCAACTAACGGTTGCTGCTCTACTACTGCATAAAGCGATAAAATCTATGTTGCCCCTTCTGGCGTCCAAAAGGAACGTTTGCAGGTACTATTTTAGGCCGTAATGAATACTATTGCCAAAGCTATCGTAGCATTGTAACTGTTAAAATTGACTAGTACATCTCTGCGATTATATACTGTATACAAACAAGTTTTAGCATGGAATAGGCCTATGCCGATTTCATGGTAGGGATCTTGTTTGATGATGCGATGATAGGATTGCTTGTTGCCTAATTTTATTCACCAATTTATCTAGCCCGAGGATATGTTTGTAATAAACGACGATGGCGATACACTTAAGCTACCGCTAAATGGGTAAGTACTTCATTATATTTGCCTGAAAGTGGTGTATTAGTAGTTTATTACAATTAGTTTTTACTTTAATGTCGCTATAAATTATGGCTAGTCATTTTCAGGAGATTTGACAACATGAATGAATCCCATTTCTGAGTAGATTGTGCGGTATTATCCAAAACTGTAATTATTTACAACTAAATCAGTTTTTGGGTATTTCAGGAAAATATGCAGAATGAGCCAGTGTACTCCACTCTTTTTGACCATTTATCGACTGCGAGGTACTGCGGTATTGCTAGAAAAATTAATTGTAAATATGCGGTATATTCCGATGTACTAAGTTTATTATTTTATTATAATACGATATTATAATATTCAATTGTCAGTGCCTTCTGTATGTATTCATCACTACTCAACTCCTGATTCAATATTTATTAGGATCTGAATGCGTCATACATTCACATTCCAAGAGGGCGGTTTTGGCAACAATCATTTCGTCAGGAAATGAATTTCGTATTAGTGATCTGCAAATGATTAAGGGTATCTATAAGCGAACCGAAAATAGAAATTATAGGTATGTAGTATTCATTTATTCTATTGGCTAGTAATTTTTGTGCCTGCTTATTAATTTGATAGGGCAATGCAGTTTATCATTTTAAAGGTATAGGTATTTTTTTTCAGATTTGGTGAAGAAGTTGTAATACCTATCATTGAAAATACTCCTACCGACCCGGAACTACAGGTAGTCATCATGCTAGGATGTAGTTATATAACATATATTAGAATTTTATTGTAATATAGATCAATTTGTTTCTAATTCTTACGTCAGTATCAATTACTGTATGATATAATTGTCATGAATTGACCCAATTGCTAGGAAAATTTAGTCAAAGCAATGGAGAATTATCCAGATACCTGCTGCGTTCTCATACGTAGACATGGACTATACATATGGGGAACTACTTGGCAGCAGGCAAAACTAATGTAAGAAATGAGCCTTACTTTGTTAATATTGATAATAGTCACCTTATATAACAGATTCTTTGCTAATTAATGTTTCATAGGTATGAATGCTACGAATATTTGTTTGACATAGCAATTCAACTAAAACAGCTTGGGATGAATTAGTGAAAACTGATTACAGAGGTCACTATTGCTATATTTTTGCTTGTCATAGGACTGTATTATTGTAATTGCTGGAGCTGATGATATACTGCTCCACAGTTATTTAGACGTTGAAGGTTAACAAAGAAAATAACATTTTATTCGGCATATCAGCGAAAAATACAATATAGTATAAGGAGTTTTTTCACTATGCCTCGGTTTTAAATTCTTCAAAGGAACTGAGAATACTTAACTAAGATATTACAGATAGCCCACTTTTCTTGTCGACTGATATACTCAAATTGAACATTCTACTCTTACTTCTCATAATCGTTCAACAGTAAATGGATTGGGCATAGCTTATCAAATAAAAGATTGAAAAAATTGATTATCTTTCTTGTTTGTATGTATATATCAAGATATAATCATGTCTAATCATTATTCAAATATTATTAAAGGCGACTTTTTCTTATGATACACATGCATGCATAACACTGATGTACGCAGTATTACAACATGAAAGTTGAAATAACCATGCAGAACATACTAATCAACGTACAAGGGGGTAACGTTGAAAGATTTCGTAACGACAAAAACATAGTCAATACTGTACGAGGCATGGTAAAACTTTCAACTTACAGTTTTTGATTACACTACACACACACTAATTTGATGCTAATTCTTTAGTATGATTTACAGATATTCAGTTGAGATAGGTACAAATAGTGTAGTTAGGTAGGCGAGATTTACAGCATAGGGTAAAATTTCGCTTAACAGCATTCATCGTAATCGGGTGAACTAGTATGAGTTCTTCTAATAATTATAGTGTTGTATGGATGAAAAGTTACAAGAGTTGGGATATCCAAGATTTTACATACTGCAGATTCTAAATTTCGTAGATACACTGCATTCAAATACTAAAGTACCTTATAACTATATAGAATTTATTCTCGATATACGTCGTCCACTTGAAATGTTGAATACAGACAGACGTTCATATTGCTATCTAATAGCATCAGTATTATCATTTAACGTTCAAATGAAACTGTTCATGATGATTGCAATAGAGGCTGGCAAATGGCAATCAGTGTAATGATTCCATGACTTTTCGAGCTTCCTTTAATTCCCTAATAAGTTCACGAAGTCCTTCTCGATCGGTCGTGAAAGCAGCAGACTTGACCTCATCATTGCTATCAGTAGCGGTATAATTTAATTTTAAATGAAATTCTGGTTGATCAACTTGTTGCTGTACACTCGAACTCATAACGTAATCGACGCGCCAATCGCATGACTTAAACTTGGATAATCGTAAGGAAGTGTCTTGCAATACTTGACGTAATTTTTCCACGTTATCGTGGTATGCCCGACATAATCCTGTAGCATGTTCTTTCGGCAAACCTAACTGTTGCAATTCATTGCATAATGCATCACTTTCCATATTATATTTAGCAGCATTGCATAAGATAAAATGAGACGTTGCAATACTCCCTTTAATATCAGATAAATCAAATTTAGCATCGGCTGTCAACTTGTATACTTTATCATAATTTAATTCTCCTTCTAACATGCATTTGATGACCTGAGTGATGAGAAGTTTCATCTTAACCGAAGACATCTTGGATAGATTGGTAATTTCGGCTAATACCCAATCAGGACAGTCTAAATCTCCACAAAATTTAAATTTCATCTTGCCTTAGTCTGGTAAAAGTTGATCAGTACGATAAAATGGACTTTATTCTAACGATTCGATAGGTAAGAATGCAATCAATAAGTCAAAGGGGCTAAAAAATTGCAATTTTCCTCTCCGCAATGGTGGTCAGCAATCGCCAATATTCTAGTGGAAGTAATTTGGTAGTAATTTGGTCAAGGACTGCTACATTCTATAGAATACGCTGGAATCGACAGTACTGACACCATCCAGTATGGCCAGCGCACTATGGAATCGAGCAATCCACTAGGGTAGATGGATTGCAGCTCGACGCCCGATGAAAAGAAGTGGCGGTGGGTGTGGCCGCAAGCCTTCTCGACTCTCAATGCACCATCTACCTGTATTTGTATAGGATTATCAGCGCTGTATGGGACGTCATATAGTCATCGACCATGATGGAGATCGATCGCCAATTTCTTGTTGTCATGGAAACAACTAGATTGAAAATGAATGCAGGTATCAAAGTATAGTCCCTAGCATGCTATTTTGTATCACTTATTTCTTCCTTTGGAAACATTGTATCAAAGCATTCCGACCTCTCCGTAGCAGAGCTTGGCGGCCTAATTGCAAAGTGTTGTGCAATATGTTGTCGTTAGTTTGATAGCTATCGTAGGGATGAAATAGCTGTTAGTGCTATAGCAATTTGAGTAGATTGTAGCCATTTGTAGGACGTAGCACTAGTGAGCTTTTTAGTGACCACTTTCAAGTCTGCAGCAACAACAGGTAGCTGGTTGCACCTTTACTCCACGCTTGCAGTATACAAAATTCGTCCAACCGCTGCTGCTGCTGATCAATTCAGGAAGAATTGGACTTTGGAGATTGTCAACAGTTAATTTCTGATATTGGATCTTCCAATAGCATATCAAATTGTCGTCTATTGGCTGTTTTCTCATCTCGATCATGAATAAATTAGTTCCTTCTGTTGTTCGTCTTATTTCCAGTGGCCAAGTGATTCATTCCATCCAGTCTGTTATCAAAGAATTAATTGAGAATTCTTTAGATGCAGGTGCAACCAGCATCGATATCAAACTTGTAAGTTGATTTACTGTCTTAAAAATCTGGAAGTGATGAATTTTCTGTATTGGGGATAGTGAGTCGATCATGTCTTACGTGCAGTACGTTACATTAGTCTAACCAAGCTTGCATTGGAGTCTATTTACTGTAAATGGGATAATCAATGTGGTCAATAATGTCCTTAATGTCAATAATACACTCGATAGTGGACTTTAGTTGTGTTGGTTTTATTGAATGCTATGAAATAATATAATATTATACGTCTGTATTTGGAATCCTAGTCGTTGTAGCAGTTAAAACAGATCCCTATCCACCATTAATAGTAAACATCGCATCATATTTTTATGATGCTGTAGACCTAATAAGTTTGCCAGACTACAAGTCGATTGTTGTTGTCATCTCGTAATCTAGCTTTTTTTTATATACTGCAATAAGTTGGATATCAAATTGGATTTGCAATACGGATAGACGTATACTATTGCAGTTGCGAGTTCTTAATACGAGTAGTATTAAAATTTTTGTTCTCTTCTTACAACCTGAATTCGCTCTTGCAATAAAACAGGAAAATTTCGGATTAGACAAAATCGAGATACGCGATAATGGCTGCGGAATACCAGCAACAGAGACTGCTTACATGGGCCAAAAGCATTATACATCCAAGCTGAGAGATATGCAGGATTTAAGCTCGATAATGACCTACGGATTTCGCGGTGAAGCATTGAGCTCTTTATGTGCTGTAAGTGATGTTTCAATTGTGACTAAGACTCAAACTGACAACGTTAGCACATTTTACGAGCTCCATTATGATGGCACGATAAAGAAAAGCAAGCCATCTCATTACGGTCAAGGTACATTGAATATATATATATCAGCTAGGAAATAAGACTATTGTAATTTCATTTTCACCGTATGACTGGCTGAATGATAATTGTAATATTTCTGATGTTTGTAACCGTTTTATGTATCAAATATTGTCCTTTATAACAGGTACATCGATCATTGCGTGCAACTTATTTAAGAGTTTGCCAGTTAGGAGACAGGTATATAAAACCAACAAAAAGTGCAAAGAAGAATTAAAACGAATAGAGGATTTAATCATTTCTTATGCCATTATCAAACCGACCGTTCGATTCTGTCTTAAACACAATAAAAGTGTAATATGGCAAAAATGCCAGGTAGCTGATATTGGCTCTGCCATATCGGTCGCATTTGGACGTGCCGTCTTTTCTGAAATGATCACGATCAATTACAAGGGCGAAGATCCAGCGTTTTCTCTTCGTGGATATATTCCCAAAAATTACTCCAATGATGAGCTAACTGGTAGATCGAATAGTGATCGTTGTTTTATTTATATCAATCAGCGACCTGTAATGTTTAAAGGTGTCTTGCAGGTGTGTCCTTAGTTTGTACATGGAATAGTTACGGTATAAAATCTATCTCTAGTAGTTAAATTAATAAATACAATTAACATAGGTGATATGAACTTAACTGTTATTGTTACATTCTTTAAAATGCTTTACATTCAGGCCATCAAACACCATTACCTTGCATGCCAAAAAGGACAAATTAATAAATGGCCAATCGCTATTCTTGACTTTACTATTGATTCGAAATTGGTCGATGTTAATGTAGAATCGAGTAAAACTCAGGTTTATCTTAGCTTTAAGGTATATCAATTCCAATTCCCCTTATTTATCGAATTATATAATACTATTGATTACTTAATGTTGACATTGAAGTTAAAATCATCGAGGATTTCAATCCTATTTTTTGTATGACACTCTCTAGGACGAATTAATAGCATCATTTAATGATCACTTAGATTCCTTAGCTCCATCAGAGCATCAATGCAGCGATCCGTAAGAAACTTTATATGTTTTCATTATTTTCCATTATAAGTCTGAGAAAATTCAAATTGTTCTATTTTAATAGACCTCAAAAATTAGAACTGGCAACGAAAGCTCCTGATGTTTCGGTATCAAATGAATCTTCAGTTATTAAAGAATCAGTGAGCAACCATTGCTACGATCAGATTTCGTATGATGGTAAATCAGTTGAAACTCCTCATGAAGTATCAAAAGCTCATAATACAGTACAAGCATTTGATATCAATAGTACATCATATGAAAATACTACGCATGCAATGGAATGTACGGATGATCATGATGGCCAAAATAATGATAATGCCACCACCGCAAAGATTGGAGATGAAAATATCATCATATCGGTGCAAGAGTCTGCTACAACTGATAGCAAACATGAATTACCTGAATCTTCAAAGGTAGATACTGAAGATTTAATCATGGAAATTGCTGAAGATGATGGCTTTGCTGGTACCGTAGATCATGATAATTCCTTAAATAAAAATGAATCGATCCCTATTTGTGATAATCATGCAAAAACAACAATTCAGGATAACAATAAAAATGAAGGTATGGTAAATTGACAGTGCATTGTTGATATACGCTTACTGTATTACATAGTCCTATTGCTCTCAAGAAACTGACAACAAGCTGACGTGGTTATAATAGTAGATGATGTGGAACGAGTAATTTTACCGGAAAATATCGATCTAGCTAGTTGGAGTAAAGGTAAAGGTTTAGAAGAAAGGACTCTGGAGGTACGTAATACCAATAATGTTTGTATAGATGTGACTGTCTCATAATTTTAGTTAACTCATATCGGTTCACTACTTTTACTTATGATTCTAGTTTCATAATTAATACGTCATTTTGTTTAAGCCGGTTAGTATCTTAGTTCCAATGCGCGGCCCAGAAAATGCTCCAGATACACCACTGGGTGTTGACATGCTTTCAACTCCTGATAAAATAAATGTAAATGCATATCTCTGAAATTCTATTTTTCATCGTTGCAGTTGTCCGTATAAACGTGTTGTTTGCAATTTTTACTAGGACAATGAACCCAATAATAAAGTTTTAGCATCGGACTTACGAAATAAACATGATGACTTGATTATAAAAGGTCTGGCACATGTCAAAAGTGTACATAATTGCAGTAAATACGATTTTAGAATACTATTAGCGTAGAAACACGACATTATAATGACTTAATTTAAATTTAAATTTCGCCATTATTGTAATTTTTCTAACGTGGGTTCCATGATTAATTGAATGCAACTCTTAGAAACTTCGGCCAAATCAAACTCAGAACTACAACAATTGAGTGGCATGATCCAGGATAGATGGAAAGCATTGACATCAGGAGAATTATGTAAATCGAAGAAATCATCAAAAGGGAGAAATTTAAGGTAGTTTTAATTGTGGTATACATAGAAATATGCCAGTTATGTACAGTCAATGCCAATAATGCTAGAAAATGTAAAAGCTTATCACAGCTAAGTGCTTTTATTAAATTTTGCAATTAGTCCTTTTCCAAAGAGACCGGCAAGCCGAGAAAATAACAAACTTTCTGAGGTATATTACTTAGCCTATTTTTAAGGTTACCTTTAAGATTATTTTTGTAGATTAATTGACTGTCATCTGCCATGGTCTAATGCGACATCTAATACCCATATACCGGATTCTAACATGTACTAGATTCTATAAAGTAGTAAGATGTTATTTTATGTATTCTATTTTTTAATTTTATAGGTTTCAAGCCCATCTGTACTCAACTTTTTCACTCCTAATACAACTCGAAGCACAAATAGCTTATCTGAGGAATCAGATGGAGAGCAAGATGAAACTATTGTTTACAACTTTGAACTAATGAAAGCTAATTATGAAAAATTGCGGTATTACAATTTCTAGCTCATTAGTGTTGTGCATTTTTTCACATTATTGCTTCAGCTGAACGTTTGCTTATATGCGCTTTAGGAAGAGTCCATTAGATGAGAATACTGAGATGATTGGCCCAATTGATTCTACTAAGCTTTGGCTATTGCGTCAAAAGAATGAAGTGCTAGTTGCGGATCCTTACAAGTATGTTGTTTGGAATTTTTATGAATCGAAATTGAAATGTTTAAACCTTGTTAGTGTAGTAATTTGAGCTTATTTCTTGTTAGAATTGAAGAAAGATTTGTTTATGAAAAGTTTATGGCTGAACATCGCTTACCTATCGTTGTGCTAAGTAGATCAATCACATTAACGGAAGGGTAAGTAATAGAGGTAGGTATTGTGTGAATCTGCGAGATTCTTTTTGCATACAGGATATGGTCTTTCACCCTCATCTATAAAAGGATTGTTTTGATGCAGTATTCATTCGCATCTTTCTTCCTCATGTTAGCTACACTTGATTAGTAATCAATTTCTTGCGATCCTTACAGAATGATTGGTGACCCACTGTTATGTTCGATCTTATGGAATATGTCCAATCAGCATAATCCCCCAGATAAGCATAGGTAAGCCATAACGGAAATATAAATCTTACGCTTTTTGTGCCGAATTTATGGTGCATTTGTGAAAGTCAATGCATTTCTTATGCTGTCTATTTGTATCAAAGTTATTATCAGGATGAGCGACTAGTTGCCAACGGATTTCTAATCAGACGTGATATAGGTAAATTTAGATCAATGTATGACATGCATATATAAGTTGGGGTTGGCTGCTTATGAAATATTGTGCATTTCTCTTAGAAATTGATTATCCATATTTTGAAATTGTTTCCATGACACGTAACATCTATAACTATGGAATAGCAGATCTGAAAGAAATTCTAGGTTGCTACTTTGACAGTTATTTTTGTTTACTGTTTTCTGTTTTAAGAGGTAAACTAACATCGTTTGTTTGTATAGAGTGTATTGCAAATGTTGAAGGCGACCTGTCAAATGTTTGCAAATTATCACAATGCAGGCCGGCTAAAGTCGTTTCTTATTTTCGAGTGAGTACCATACTAAGTATAATAGTTTAGACTTTTTATAATAAAGTATTCGCAAAATTTGGAAGCTTGTTGGTGCATTAATTAAGCAATAGTAGATAACTCTTGTGTAGGGTACCTTAGATTGAAAATTAACGTCTATTGCTTACGCTATGAACTACTAGATATAGCTAGTAGTTCGAAGGTTACGTTTATCTTTGTTTTGCGCAGGTAGGACGCACATACATAAATAAGCCTGTGCTAAGTATCAAGTTGATGTTTAAATAGTAGAACTACGTTAAGATGGCGTTGTGCTGTAATTTAATACAGGGTGAAGCAAGGCGAATAAGTTCTATGTTAAAGAAGAATTTGAAGCCTAGCGAAGCCAATGATATCATAGCGAAAATTAAACGGCTACCAACAGACTGTACAAAGAGTCTTCGTGGGAAGGAGCTTTTTCATCGAGTGGCATTGCTAAAGGCAGAATTGACTACTGATTCAACTTCGTAGTAGATATGATTAAGTTAAGGATTTGTAAAAATTTTTTGGGATTTAGGGTTATGTTGCAAATTTTATCATTATACAGCAAGAAGGCTAAAGTAAATTAAACGTGACTCTACTGGTAGAAAAAATAGTTCGTTGTTGTTTATAAGATTGATTTAAAGGTTTATTCCTTTCAAGTTTCACATATGAAAAGTCTACTGATTCAACGAAATTACAAGCTATAGCATTAGCAAATGCATAGATGATAAATCGTCATATCGTTTGAATCTAAGACATCGGTAACAGTATTATATTTTATTGAAAGCTGCAATATCCATTGATTGGACTAAATCTTCGATGGCTGTAATTTGTTCTTCCAAGAAGTCCGTACTAATCTATTAATTATAAAGTATTAAAAAAATTCCAATCATGTATATGGTTACAATTGTGCTCATCTGTTTTATCATATGTAATTAATCTCGATAAGAGCTTAAAAATTAATGTTTTGCCCCATCAATGAAGACAGTCGTAGCGTTGTAACTACTTGGTAAATACAAGCGATTTTAATCTACTATTTCAGCTTAGAAATTGCAATTACTGTACGTATGTTGTGAATAAACTCAGATTTTACCTTGTCGTCTTCAATAACAGCAGCAATTTGTAATTTGTTAATACCGTACCCAACAGGCTTAAGTTTAGCTATGGAGAACATATAATGTGATAAATGAATGCATTGTTTGTGACACGTAACACAGTACCCATTATTTGCATATACTGAATACATGTATACTTTAGGAAAAAGTTCGACTTGGTATGAAGTATTATTGACAAGATACAAATAGCAATATCATTATAAGTACAGTTTCTACTAATATTTATCAAAAGCACACTATACTATCTGGATTAAAATATCTTGTTGTCAACTACCGATCGTTATTGATTACGGTAACTGATAAAGTCTAAAAGGCAATAGAAAGTAGGCTATTACTAGATTTTGCCTAAAAGTCTTTAAAAACTATCACATAATTGAGTCTATTAATCAATTTCCACTAATTATATACTTACACGCTCCCCAGACTAGACCATCTGCTTCAATAGCGCGAACTTGTTTTTCCATCTCCTGCATGTCTAAAATGATAGAATATGAAATTGTGAAGTCTCAATCTGTCAAGAAGCTAAGCGTTAATATGCCTCCGATTATAGAAATCCTACCAGTTTCGTCATCCCATGGTTTCACATCTAGTAACAAGCTAGATTTGGCAATTACAGCTGCCTCTGAAATGGACGATGTAGAAAGCGGTGTTAAACCATTAAGAATAATACTATTTAGAGTCTATATATTACCATCTATTTGTTAAGAGATAAGAAATATCTGTAATCTAAGCTGAAAATGGGATGTTGGTAGAATTATGGGCTTTATATGAGTTCATGACATACTTTTTGCTTTCTTGGCTTGATAACTCTCCACGCGTTGCTGCTTCAATTTTTCTTCTTCATCCTTGATAAACAATTATTACAATTTAATTGGCATACTGTGAATATTAAGTAGTCTTTCAAGAGTATCCTTCTCTTTGGTTGATAATCCAATGTTAAGGAATAAGTATGAAGATCACAGCTAGTAATTGGGTATAAATAGTAATCCGTAGACTTACTTCAGAATCAGATGCGAATAAATCGAATTCTTCATCGTCGTCTTTATTGTCCTCTGTTTCATTACCCGCAGGTCCATAGGAACTTAAGCTTTTCTTATCACCGGGAAATCTAATCAAGAACGATAATAATTGGTAGGTTAGGTATAGCAAAAGAGGCACGATGATACGTCCATTGATTCCTTTCAAAGAATCGAAATCAAGGCTGATGCAGTGTAATCGATTCTTTGCACAATTTAGCTACTGTACTAATATTGTGTTATGTAATGACGACAATAATGGTACCGTCTATCCCGTTGAGCGATGGCTACTTTACTATTTATTAAAAGCAACAGTAAGCAATACTTACGCTTTCCTTTCATTTGCATCGTATGATGAAATGTGACTGAACCAACGCAATGCATGATTCAATTTGTCAGAAGGTGCACCAGAAAGAGCAGCAAAGACTACACTATCAGCTTGAGATGGTACATAACTATGTAGACAAGGGGGAAAAAATCAAGACAATCCTCTTGATTAGTAAGATAGTAGCAATACAGTTGATCAGCACAATATCAATCATGATGAGTTGGTAGCAACGTTATTGCTATGGCAAGGCGACCTACGTCTACGCTATCGCATATCGACTAGACTACAGCATGTTCAAGTACCACCATGACGGCAATATTATTGTCAAAGCTATCGTCCACTTTCTATGTGTATGTACAGTACATCAATACAAGTAAACACATCGCATGCTAGAGTGCATGATAAGGGAAAAATCAATCATAAGTTAATCACGGTCCATCCAAGGAAAGCCATCAAGCCACAGCGACCATGTTGGTGCCACATCTAATGTCAATTGTGTCCATCACTCCATATCAGCGTGTAATGCAAATCAAGCATGTACGGGCGGTATCCAAGTAAAGCTATCTCGTAAGGAGTCTTAAGTAATCGCTAGTAGGATTGGTGGATTAGAAGACTTGTCCAAGCTTCTCGAACTGATTTCAACCGGTGATGATACGCGTATAAAGTTAATTGATTGAAGTTGTTGGTTGTCAAGGTTAAGCGTTGGCCGGTTGCTTGTTTCTATACTGTCTGTATAGGCAGGAGGGACTGGATGCCAATTTTAAAGTGATGATGGCTAGTACAGCTTGGGTTCTTATCATTCAACATTGTCAATCCTAAATATGAAAGGTTACTGTAGTAAATCGTTCCCTTACCCTTCAATATAGCTACGATCAGCCAAGTAATTATTTAATGAAGTTAAACCAGCTTCACTTTTTAAATCGGGGAAACCCATCACGTTGTTGGCGAATATTTGACGAGGGGTGGTCGCAATAAAGCCACGGTACAAAAGGAAGCCTAACGCGTAGTCTTGGTACAAATATACCGTAGAAGGGGTGGTGACGTCCAGTACAGACAGATGGACTTTTTCTTGCTCAATGAGGCCATCCAATATCCAAAGATGGCTACTTAGTATGCATCTTCTGCGTCTGTTTTCTAAATCACTGGTACTCGTTCTAATAACATCGACGATCTCATATCACTGTCTCCAAGTGGAACTTAGTAACAGATAATAAAATTTAGCGTAATATTACTTAATTTAGAAAAAATCAGTCACTTCAAAATGGACCATCTGCACATTCCACTACGGTCATCGTAATGAAGTAGTTGACACAATATTATTTTGGGACGAGAGGAGGTTGAAAATGTCTGTCCGTCCAAGAGTGATGGGACAGGGCAGGTCCCCAGGTCGTCTACTAGTGGTCCAAGGTACAGTACAGAGGCGAGTAGTAAGTACTGTACTACTAGAGTACTATGTACTGTATAGTACTGTACAGTAGCAAGGATTTCTGCACAGTACAAGTCCATGGTTCAAACACACACACACACAGTCTGTCTTGCGGTCTGTCTGTATGCTGCAATCTGTTCTTGTAGTTACTGTATGGACGAAGCCAGAACTGATCACTTACTTTAAAGTAACAAAATGAGCTGTTTCAGCGAAAGAAGCCGTAAAATAGAACAGCCTGTGCTGTATGCACAGTACACTGTACACCAATATGGAAGATTGGAAGAGAAAGCTCAACACTAGGGTTGTTCCGATACATACGATTTCAGTGGTCCATTCAGTACTGAATTCGCTTGCCACTGGCCTTACACTACTACTCGTAGTCCATCCTGTAGTACTCCAATTCGGCAAGGCTGGACGCCCGGACTACTGTACAGTGTACAGTACTACATACTGTATACTGTACTGTACACTGTACTGGCCGACATTGTCACACTTCGGGCCCACGTCCCACAAATCTCCTACTGTATAGTACAGTACAGTACAGTACAGTACAATACAGTACAGTGTACAGTGTAAAGTACTCTACACTGTACACTGTACAGTCGACAGTACTAGTACCCAGTGGTTGGGGATGCGGGACTAAACGTTCCCACTACTGGACATCGATTTGGAGAGAGAGAGAGAGAGAGAGTCATGGCGTTTTGCTTTATTGTGCATGCCATATTGGAGTCTTCTTAAATAGATTAAGGTAATTGTGTCTTTTTGTATTCATTGGACTATGGAAGAGATCAAGAATGATAGCAATCCATCGCAGCAACATCAGCATGGATGTCATGATCCAGTAAGAGAAGAGACCGTCGACAACAACGTTATGGAGGTCGCCGAGGTAGATACCGATGAAGAGTTTGCATCCAATCCTTTTAGCCAATTGTTTGAGTCATTACAACATGCTAAAACTGCTGCCAAAAGATTTAAGAACGCCACGGATTTGAAGGAAACCACTTTAATAGGTAAAGGCGAGATAAACTAGCTTTCACTTTGCCTTTCATCCTACTGTAGTAAGCATAATAGGACATTACATCAAGGTTCTTCATCCTGTTGGACTGTCCTGTACTGTACTCGTACTCTACGGTACAGGTGATCCATGGAAAACTACTACAGCAAGTGGATTTCTGAAACTAGAGTAGCTGCATGTTGTACATCTTTTATAGCGTGTGATTGTGTGTCTATGTCTCTCTCATCACTTGCTTCCTTACTAGTTGTAATGTCAAGCTGCTCAACCTTGACATTACAATCTTTCTTGCACAACTATACTGTACAATGTGGATCTATTGACAACAATTCACAATGATGTAATATTTGTAACATGGAAAGAATGGACTCATCTAACACTCATCTTCTTCATCGTAGGCCAAATGAAAATGAACCTTAAGGACTCAGCTGAACTTCTTCAACTTGATATCACCGCAGACGAATTAATTGTCAATGATATTCTACAACGAATTCTACTAGTGACTGCAGATAAACGTATGATAACAGTTGTTTACTACTTACAATTATTGTAGGCCTATGCTGTCCAATGTACAGCATACTGTACTGGAGTTGGTACTGTGATAGGTGTATTAGCTTAAGATGAAAACGAGCTACCTCAGTCCGACTAAGAATGAATAATTAATAGTAATCAATAAGTACAGTAATCATTCCATTTCAATACTGAACATGATAAAAATAATCTAGTAGCTCAATCTTTCGTATTAATAGACAAGTGTGATGAATTGCAAGGGTAATCTCAAGCATGATAGAAAAATTAGACTAACCCTCTTAATTCTTATTTTGCTAGATTTTTCAAAACGTGCTGATAAGATATCTGTAAAAATACCACAGACAATTGTGCTATTGCCATTAAGTAATGAGTTAACTGAAGACCGTTGCTGTTTGAACTTCGATATTGTCGATGAGGTAATGCTAAAATTGGGTACAATGCTAATGCAATAACTGTTGTACATTCATTCATTCGTGTAAGAAAATTGCTCGAATAGCAAAGATATAGAACGCCAGTGGTATAGAATACAAGGACATGTAGCTCTCCAATTAAAAATAGACTAGAATAAGAATGGACATAGTTTTATCAGTGACTATAAATATCATCAATCACCATTCATCATAAAATTATACAATGTCTATAGTATTAATTGCCATGGATAATGTATCAACATTCTAAATAGAATCATAGCCTTACAAGTGCATTGTGATGATACGTGCTAGTATTATTACTACGATACATATCCTGTATAACCATACACATTCCAAGATCGAAAACAATCTTAGTATGCTATTGAACGTAGTCATTACCATAGCACCTTGCTAGACACTGTCTTGCGTGTGTGCTCGTATTCAAAAGTACTTGACAGTTATACTGAATGGCAAAATCAACTAAATTCCAATCCAATTTCAATACTATTAGGCACTCATAGAACGTCTCAGTATGGCTGATATTCACCCAAATGTCATAACGTTTCGTCCCTCAAATAAAGCAAAAGATGACCAAAGCTATCGCGTCTCTTTAGCCCTAGTAGCTGAACCTAATCCTATTGTTTATTTATTCGAATGTCATCGTAGAGCTCGTTTAGTCTTACAAGAACAATCGGTAAATATGTGGCTGCATTACCTTGTTAATACAGCTTCCAACTCTTATGGAGTAAATAATAGTCTTGACTGACTATGACATAGCTAATCTTTTTCGATACTCTACTCAACGCAGGCAGATAATCAGTGTAGTAGACAAGCTGCAGAAAAATGCAAAGTTATCGTAGCGACATTTGTTGGGTAATATGAATTGTATTACTATCAATAATGAATTAATCAAATAATATTGATGAATATTATGTCATTGAGATATCATTTGCTTTTAATGTTTTACAGCTCTTGCTTACTAACACCTGATATTCTATCAGGTCAAGATACAAACAAGCAGTTCGACTCATTACTTACTGATAGGCAATACTCTGGTAAAATTCATTCATTACACTCGTATTCAAGTTAACATTTTCATTCTTATACAATTACCAACGCTATCGCTTGTTTCCATTATTTGCAATGTAGGAACGCCCGAATTGTACGAATTTTTGAAAGACATTCTAATTTCTTATCCAGACACAAATGACATTGTAAGGTCTTTAATGTTACAATTTTAAAATTAAAAATTACTCCAGGCATGCAAATATTATCCATACACCTTAATACGACATCGGAAGTTGGAAATGTTATCTTATGCATATATTTTGTTAAAAACTTCTAGGAACAGATCTTTCAATACAGCATTGCACCAATTTTTAATATTCAGAGCATTAAATATGAAGACATCCATCCTAAACTTATACGTCTGTGTAATTTTAGTCAACATGAGCACTTATTAAAGGTATTTAGAGCATTTCGTATGTTGGTTATAATTCTTGATAATAACTATAATGTCTTTATAGTTCTTAATAGAGTCAAGTCCTTGGCTTCCTAAGGGTTTAAACGTGACAGGAAAATCTTTCGAGCGGACTTTATTAGGCTCTCTGCTATGCTACAGCTCAATTGTTCCAGCCTTACCTTTATTACAAGGCTTCGGCTTTACAACCTTACATACCCTATCAGTAAGTTGAATTAAATGGCTATAGTAGCTAGTACATAGTAAAATTGAATAATATTGTAGTATTGAATTAACTAGGACGCTTTCTTTATATAGCCAGATTTCTCAAACCCAACCATGATGCGACCTGCTCAAGTAGAACATATCACTAGTTCTCTCCGAACTCAGAGGGAATACGTTCTAGAATTAATATTTACGGTAAATTACCCATCTTTTAAATACTGTATTGATCGACTGCATAATTGTAATGCATACTGTAAATTCTATATCTGTTAATATAAGCGTTTATCATTGTATTCATTTCATTTGTCCCTATTGCGCTAATCGTAGAATTCGTAATTACGAGGCATGCAGCATATCGTTAGTTTCTGCTATACGCCTATGATTATTCTATACAAACTTACGGTATATTAATGATTGTGCTCATAAACTATTGCATTATACGCTAACTTTATCTCCACCAAAAATCATTATTTACCAAGATATTTAAAACCTCTTTGAAAGTATCTGTGGAATGTCGTGGTCATATTTTAGATTGGATCTCCTTATGCCTCTTTCATAACAAGCTTAGATCGAGTGTAAGTACGCCTGGAATTTGAGCAGTTTCATTGATGAGTATTGAATCTATACTGGAAAGTGTTTATTGATTTACTAATATTTGCTATCATCTTTCTTTGTAGAGCGCATCACAAATGCATTTTCATGAATTAGCTGGTGACGCATTCTTTCTAAATTTATCTTCCATTCTTATGGAATTATGTGACCCTTTTATGATTATATCTTCCCCGAAACTTTTAAAAATTGACCCAGAAGCTTGCATAGCTAAAAGCAGCGTAACGCAAGCTCATGGCATTTTCAGGCTAAATCTTTATAATGAGACTAAATTAGCTGATCAGACTTCATCAGGTAAGGATTAAAGAATAGCGCTACTTTTATAACCAGCGTACACCTTTCCTCATGCAGCTATTGTTATAGATATGATTTTGCATTGTTTAGTAATTACATATCTTCTGATTATTTTTGAATAAAAGAGAACAATACCATTGAAAAGGATGGAGATTTTAGCTTTATTACTGAAATATTCTTTTTGACCCACAAAACTTTACATTTGGGTAATTATTAAGACCTTTCGATGTTTACATATCGAATTTATATGCTATTTAACTCTAACAAATGTCTATTTAGCGTTGCCTACCACAATTACTGTGTACAAAAATTTGATGGAACGCCTTGCAAAGGTTTTATATAAATTTTAGTATAATTATAATTAACGCCGCTTTAACTGTGTTCATATTCATATTTTCACATTAGTTGCAGAATATGGTAAGTACTCCAGAAGGGCTTGCCAATACGAATCTACGACAAGAATTTGAAGCTGGTGTTTCACAGCAACTTGCTATGAAGGTTCGAATTTTGACTCTTATATTAAAAAGCTTTATTACCCACTAGCTTTATCGAATTAATATTATCTTCTTACTTTTGCAATATTGATAGGCGCATGTTTTAGACCCCAAACTTTTGGAGCGCATACTGAATTTCTACAATGTAACGGCCGCCTGGGCTTTACAAATTTCTAATACCGACGGAAAACATTATAATCAAATCGATTTAAATCAAGAAATGTTATCTACTTCTATCGAGGTAACGTTAAAGTAACCTAATCTCTCTTTACATATCACTAAGAGATTATTGGTAGCTTTACAAATGATCTAATATTATTAGGTACCAAAGAAATTTGCCATGCTGCCGGAGTTCATTGTCGATAGTTTAACCCAATTTATCATCTTTCTTGGGTATATTTAATTTAATTTATATAGCTTACAATATGACTTTTAGTTTATGAATAATTCATCTTATCGTATTGCTAAAAAAGAATATATCGCACTATCAGATTGATTGACCCACTGATAAATACCTTTTGTTAGGCACTTTGCTCCGGAGATTCTAGAAATGCAATGCGCTAAGTTAGAACCCCTTGTTATCTTCATTACTGGTTTAATGGGGTAATGTACATTATACGTGCAATTATTAAAATGACACGTATAGAATAGATTCATTTTGCTATTAGCTTTTTTATGGTCTCTTCGCATTGCATAAAGAGACATAACTTGATATTGCTGATTGTCTTGATTCTAGAAGTTCAAAATTCGCCAAAAATCCTCATGTACGTGCTCAGTTAGCTGATGCTTTGGCTCGCTTAGTTCCTAATGATGCACATAAACGCATGTTAGAGGTTATTATTAATACAAATTGCGAAATTTATATAACTTGTCTCTTAACTCAGATACAGTCTCATATACTACTCAATGATTATTTAACAAAGTGAAAGATTAGTAAGGTGCACCACAAATTTTAACCTTAAATATAGCAAATTTTCTTGGAAAGTAAGCAAATTCAAGATAGTTTGGCACTAGCAGTCCTTAATGTTTACGTTGACATCGAAAAGACAGATAATTCCGTTGAATTTGAGCAAAAATTCAGTAGGTTTCTGGTATTAGCCTATTAAATTACGGCTACAACCTTCGAAGTCATAATGGTGCATTCCCTATTCATCGAGTAAACTATCTATCTATTTTTCTTACAGGTTATCGACATAATATCTACAATATTTTAGAATATTTGTGGACTGTTCCTGCTTACAAAGAAAAAATGATAAAACTTAGCGAAGAGGTTAGTGTAATGATCTTCAAGATAAGTTTTACAAATCATGGTACTGAATATTGTACAGTATTATAATTTGCACTTTAAGCTTATACAGGATACTTCCTTGTATTTTTTAAGGTAACTGTTGGAGAGCAAGGACTAAAAGACGTTATTTTTTTGCGATTTATTCATTTGCTTACCAACGATGCTGTCTTTCTACTCGATGAAGCACTAAGTGTATGCAAACTTTGATATTTTGTAAAGATGATTAATATTGTAATAGCAGTTTTAAAAATCATTTTATGACGCTATCTATCATTTATTTACATTCCCAGACTTTATCAGATATTAAGAAATTACAGGAGGAATTAGCAGATGAGGAACTTAGTAGCCAAGCCAGACGAGAGGTGAGATCTATAAGTTGATTATGTATAATATCGCTCTTTATGATTTTTCTTGTATTTCATTAATATTTGATGAGATTGATGTTAACAGTAAAAATGTTTCAATTTTGTTAGAAATTGCAACAACTAAGCTTTTCTAGCAGAATGGCTCGCTCGCTAAACATTCTTGGAAATCAAACTGTTAATGCCCTTACATTGTTAACACAAAGTATTGTTAGGTAATTATAGATAGATTCATTATACATTCGTAGTTGTGTTTTATTGAAAGCGTGCAAGAAAAGAAATTCATCACTCAATCTACTGCGACTTATAGTCGAATAGCTGTAGCTAATTGTTACTATTATTTTCATCAGACCTTTCACCGAAATTGGAATGGTGGATAGAATTGCTTCAATGTTAAACTACTTTTCTGTACGACTAGCTGGACCGAAACGCGGTACTTTCAAGGTTCTTCTTATCATATAATGTATTTCATCATTAGAGAATAAATATTAAATTGTATTGTAATTAATTGGAATTTTATCAGTTGAAATATGGCGAAATAGCAATATATAAATAGAGATGATTGAATGTGAGGTTTCTGTACCTTTATAACTGTCTATCTTACTATTATCAAAAGGTGAAAGATTTTTCCGAATTTCATTTTAAGCCCGATCAACTTATTTGCAATATTGCACTGATTTACACGCAATTGGGCCAATCGGAGAGCTTTTGTAAAGCGATAACGGAAGATGAAAGAAGCTATACGCCACAACTGTTTTACCAGATAGAGCGAGTTTTAAAGTATATTTGACTAATAGGCTAATTATATATTTTATAACGTGTAAGAATATTTTCAGGTGGTTTTTTGGCTACAATATGAATATAATTTGTTTCTTTTAGTAAATTGGCTCGACTAGATATTGTATCAGAATTTAAAGAATTACACGACAAAGTTACCAAATTTGCAGCTGAGAAGAAGGAAATTGAGGAGGCTATGCCCGAAGTAAGCAGTTTCTGTTTTCTTATTGGTTTACTCTTTTATGAAAGCTGAACCAAAAATTAATATCGATAATACCATATTTATTACTTAGCCTCCTGAAGAGTTTTTGGATCCGATAATGAATACATTAATGGTTAATCCGGTAATATTACCTACGTCTGGAAAAATTATGGATAAGGCAACAATCACGCGGCACTTATTTAGGTAATTTCTTTTTGATGATACTATGTATAGCTCATTCTACAATGCTCTTAACGCCTAACAAAAATGATCAAGATACTGAATTAAAAATTGCCAGTATGTTGTAATGTGGCCTATGTAATCTCTTCGTAGTAGTCAGAATGATCCATTTAACAGACTGCCGTTGCAGCTGGATGATCTAGTTCCGCATCAGGAGCTCAAAGAACGAATAGAGCAGTGGCTAAGAGATAACAAGATAATATTACCGGATCAAAATGATTAGTACTCTTTTTAATACAACGAAAATACTCGTATGTTAAAATCATCAGTGACGAACAACGGAATAATGTAAATTTATCGTTATATGATTTTTGTTTTCTGAAAGCATAATAGATTAATATGTTATGATTAATATTATTACCATCTATATGATTTTATCTTAAATTTAAATTGAGAATTACATTATACACTTACGCATTGTCGTTTGACCCTTCGATCGTTATATGTGATTTCATAAAATAATAATTTTGAATTATACGAAATGAGATTAATTTCTATGATACACTGTAGGGCAGAATTGATTTCATTGATACCTATGTACGGAACATTATAATAGTAATATAATATGCATACACGTATAAATAATTGGTGAAGCTATAATTTCCCGCTGTTATTTCCATAATCTTAATCGGCACTTGACATTAAATGATTTTACACATTCTACAGGATATTGAAATTTTGGGGTCGATTAATTTGAAAATTTTAAACAGTTCTTTATGTGCCACTAAATATTAACATGAAGGAAATTGCAGCAGCACCCATCTACTTGTTTCTTATGAGTCATATGTCATTGCATGGAGTATAAGTGCAATTTCATTTTGCTCTGTAACATGCTAATGGAATATACGTACTTTAAGGTGTATGAGAGTACTAGTTTCGTCATCTTTTACTTATTTATGTCAATGTAGAGGATAAAAATGTAGTTGAATGGCGTAGATTAATAAAAGGGTTGAAAGATAGGGCAGCAATTACCACATACAATTTCGATTCTAACGTTCAATTTGGCCAGTATGCAAGAGATGTACAGTAATTGGATAGATTAGGTTAGTTAATTCCAGTTTGATGGTAGTGTAGGGTTGGCTCAGTTAACGTATCCATGAGTGTACCTTTTATGGTGTTAACCTATCGATTTCGAGGCATATTGATTTTATCTATTTATTGTTAAACTGTTCGCATTAAATGTCGGATGCATCATGAGATACATGTAAGTTTGAAATCATGCTCTTTCACATCTATAGATCACATCAGTGACTATTCGAAACAAGAAAGGTCCCTGATTACATCTACTCTGTCACACCTATAATACACAAGGCATAGAATAAAAACTGAATCCGGTAAAATTTTATTTTCAAGATTCCTAAATTCAATTCAGTAATTGGAACAGTATCTAAACGAACCGACGGCACATTAACTGCAAAGAGACGGTGTGCAATATACATCCATGTATGGCCATATGAACGCTAATTTGCTAGCTACAGTAATTCACACATGTAACATTAAAATTATCCAAAGTTGCAAAGTAATCGAAAGGAAATTAAAGCAACGAAGTCAAGGTAACCAAACATTAATGGATCGCAGATATAAACTGCTATTTCTCCAATATTTACAGTAGATGCCTTGATTCAAAGATGAGATGGTAATGTTATGAAGTGCAGTACACGTACTTGTATACAGTACTGATAGGACTCGATCATTCAAAGGATACGTGTACTGCAGTAAGGTTATCACAAACTCATTTGAGTAGTAACAGTGCTGATACTAAAATTTGATATATTTAGTGAATTCTAGATTGATGCATCTGAACATTGCAACTGGCATTAACACACTACTCAAAAAAATCGATGCAATATTGCGTTGATGACGTAGATTGGCTCATGATATAGTTTCACATATAATCACATTAATTGCAAATTCGTACTAAATTATAATAGAATAATTTTATCATATGAGGTAACAAAAAATATTTTTACGCGCACAATAAAAATTTCAATTAACCCTTTGCATATTTTAAATATACATTATGAAAAGGTCATATCATGAATCTTGCTTTACTACTTGTTGAAGTAACGGGAGCCTTTAGTGGATTGCCTATACTTTAGAGGTTACTACGTTACTACGAGAGAAATTTGACGCCACCACTGTTATCATTGTCGTTGGGCTGGATATCAAACATAACGGCTTTTCCTTTCTTCTCTAGCACTCGTAACGCACGCTTTAATACCCAAGTTTCTATCTCATAAAATTCTAGCCAGGTTTAGAAAATAACAAGGAATAGTTTAGTAACAATCATTTCACTTTGCAGATTTGGTATACAGTATACGCATACAGTGTATGTCATACAACTGAGCGCATTAAAATATGTATTGATACAATACTGTAGTATAATTTTATTACAGCAATGCACAATTTTAGTTACAGTTACGAATGGATCATCATTTTATCCATAGGATAAACAGGAATAGTACAGTAGCTCTTGAAATAATTAAGATAGATGATATCGTACCTTCCTTCTTTACATCGTTGCCTAACTGTAATTCGTATAAGGTGCAAACTGTATTTGTCATACCGCTGCGTTCAGCCTAATAGAATTGTTAATTAATACCACGAAGATAGTAATCAGTAATAATGCATAGCAATAGCGAAACTTTATCAGGAAGATAATTTCATTGCAAATACTTCTAATTTAATATCCTTGCGGTTAATATACATTCGTCTAGTATAAACCGATATTGGCTGTAACATTACAACTACCAGATGTAATTTAAAATAATGACGATATGTATGCTCAGTATGGACTATATTAATAAGTAACGATAACAGATAAAGGCAATGTGCTAAATGATCTGTTAAAAGTATACTTTTTTTCATCTACTTACTGTTTAATATGATAGTATATCTATGGATTGATGATACTCACCCAATTGAAGATCAGTTTAGCCCACTCTTCCGCCGATCTCCACATTAATAAAGCTCTAGACATTTTCTTATCTTGCCATTCCAGTAAGCCTGCAAAGCATGAGCCATACGAATCACTACAATTTGTCTACTCTGATTACCAACTGTAGTATATGGTAGTTATTATGCTGTAAATGCTAGATAAATGAATGCATGGCTGCATACCATTCACTTAATTACAAGTATATCGTATGATAATTGATGATTGTCCTTCATCACTGGCTAGTATTTTAACCATAATTACTGTAATGGACATTCTAGACGCATGATCTTCGTGTCTCAAGACAGTGTATTTGAAGTGAAGGCCAAGTCATCCGACCGTAAGCGAAAAAGTTTCGCTGATGTTTAATTAAATATACTAACCTTTATCTTTCAGAGCGTTTAGCACTAGATAGACACCATCGATTGGTAGTTTTCCTTAATTACTGTTAAAGAAATAGATTGCATCGATATAGCGTTGAAAGTGATCGATCTTTCTATTAGTCAACTAATTAACTTCAAATGCTGTTCTAGTTCTGTATTGCTTACATTAATTAATGGCTATAAATTTAGAAAGGATACGTTTGATTTTAGCATTATGAAATAAAGGACTAGACAGTGACTCTTGGACATCGATCGCGTATGATTTAATATGCTTTTGATAGTCTAACACCAGTTCACACCAGGCTTGAATTTGTTTGGTTTGAGTTTCAACATTTGGCTGAATCCTACATGATATAAAATGTCATCAGTTTACTTTTCAAATCCAGTACTTGTACGTAACAGTTACCTCTAAAATCACTTTCAATGGATATACTGGTATAATAAATTACTAGTAGTACCAAATTTGATGATGAAATGATATATCCAAACTACAGTATATCATTTTTATTCACGCATATGTCCTATTGTACAATAAAAAGTGGCATAACACGAAAGAAATTGGACTCAAAGCGTTGGATCTTGTGGATCGTGATAAGTGGTATTAGTAAGTATTGGACAGGCAATCAACTTCTTTGAGTACAGACTATCCACTACAATTACTTCTATCCGAGATAGGTTGCAATTTCAAGGTTAATCATGGTACTGTAGTGTTGGTAGAACGTACAAGATCGATGCCAGTGATGGCTAGTACTATTTTGATCAGTGAATCCAATAAGGCAGACAAGTAATCGACTTCTCTAGTGATACTAAATGATGGATCGTTTTTGCGTATATGCGTGTAAGCGAGTAGTTTATAGGTTAGAAATCCCAGTTTGAATGGTGTATCAGAATAATATAGGCAATTTTGCTGAGCATTAGATAAAGTGGTATGCTATAGTATACTTTGTAGGGCATTTTATCACCTCATAAATGTACAGTATGAGTTGATTTTACTGTACTGAAGAGTAGAATGATCGCCAGACCTGATCCTTGAAATGACAAAAACTACAGGAAGGAAGTAATATTACACGCACGTATCTACAAAGCAAACTAAAGCTGAGTCGATTGTGATGCTGATGAACTAGAAGAGCAGTGATAATAAGCAATTCTTGAAGTTTCATAGCACTCCATAACAGTTTATTTTTGACTCGTTCATTAGTCTAGAAGACAACATTCAAATTGGGTCATGGGCATACTGCTGTCCATCGATCTCACAACAAGACACTTACGTAAAGAATGGCGGAAAGTCGTATTGCCATGGCCATTGAAAATTGGCTAATTGCTTAGCAGTCGTCATGATCACCAATAGTTCAATGGTATTCTAACTTGACTTGGAGACTTGGCAGTGGTTTCAAGTCGCAGAATAGGAAGAAAATGGAGTCGAATGATGGATTTTACGCTACTGTTGGAGCCAGTCCGACTTCAAAGTGGCATCTCGCTTGTCCGATGCAAGCCGTAAATCTGCTGTATCATACAGTACTGTTCATTGCATACTACAGTATCATCGAGCCGGTATGCAGTTGATGGACATATTGGACACCACCTCAACAAGGGACTGCAGTATGGCAGGACCATGGACGACGACCAATAATTTAGAGCAGAACAGACTTTGCAAATTTCTCTACATTATATACAACATGCCGTTAAAAATAGAGAAGACACAGTCTATTCCATCTTGGATAACTTATAGAACCAATAGCTTGTTTGATATTGGTTAAAAGTCCCTGGTATAACCCATAGAGTTAGTTCGTTTTTGAATCTCGATCTAGGTTGGGAAATTTTTTTTTCCTAATATTTCTTGACTTGCGGATTATTTTACCTCCATAACCTACGTTTGGTTAGTCACTAAAATAAATAACTCATCCATGAATATACAGTGTAGTGGCACAGTCTTGTATATTATTAGTCACTGGATAACCTACAGAACCAATGACTTGTTGGATATTTGTTAAAAGTCCCTGGTATAACCCATAGAGTTCGTTTTTGAACCTAGATTGGAAAATTTTTTTTGCTTACGGGCTATTTTACCTCCATAACCTACAGTTGCTTAGTCGCTAAAATAAATAATTCATCTATGAATATTCGTACAGTGTAGTGACACAGTCTTCTATTTTTAAATAGAGATCGTTTTTTAATCTTGATCTAGATAGGGAAATTTTATTTTTATAATATTTCTTGACTTACGAGTTATTTTACCTCCATAGCCCACGTTTGGTTAGTCACTAAAATAAATAACTCATTCATGAATATACAGTGTAGTGGCACAGTCTTGTGTATTTTTAGTCATTGGATAACCCATAGAACCAATGGCTTCTTAGATATTTGTTAAAAGTCTTTGGTATAACCCATGGAGTTCGTTTTTGAATCTCGATCTAGGTTGGAAAGTTTTTTTTATAATTTTTTTGCTTACGGGTTATTTTACCTCCATAACCTACAGTTGGTTAGTCGCTAAAATAAATAGTTCATTCAAGAATATTTGTACAGTATAGTAATACTATCTTCTATTTTTAGATAGAGTTCGTTTTTTAATTTCGATCTAGATTGGGAAATTTTTTTTTCATAATATTTCTTGACTTGCGGGTTATTTTACCTCCATAACCTACGTTTGGTTAGTTACTAAAATAAATCGTTCATAAACATACAGTGCAGGGACACAGTCTTGTATATTTTTAGTCATTGGATAACCTATAGAACCGATGACTTGTTGGATATTTGTTAAAAGTCTTTGGTATAACCCATAGAGTTCATTTTTGAATCTCGATCTCGATTTTGGAAAATTTTTTTATTACTTACGGGTTATTTTACCTCCATAACCTACATATAGTTCATTTTCACTAAAATAAATAATTCTTTCATGAATAGAGTCAACTGTCTTAAATATTTTTAGTCATTGAATAACCTATAGAACCAATGATTTATAGGATATTTGTTAAAAGTCCATGGTATAACCATAGAGTTTGTCTTTTAATCTCGATCTCGATTGGGAAATTTTTTTTTCATAATATTTCTTTACTTGCGGGTTATTGCACCTCTATAACCTATATAGTAGGTCGGTCACTAAAATAAATAATTCATTGATGAATGTAGTGATACAGTCTTATATATTTTTAGTCATTGGATAACCCATACAACCAATGACTTGTTGGATATTTGTTCAAAGTCTCTGGTATAACCCATAGAGTTCGTTTTTGAATCTCGATCTAAATTGGAAATTTTTTTTTATTATTTTTTTGAATTACGGGTTATTTCACCTCCATAACCTACAGTTAGCTAGTCACTAACATAAATCATTCATTCATGACTATACAGTGTAGTGATACAGTCTTCTATTTTAGTCATTGGATAACCTATACAACCAATGACTTGTTGGGTATCTGTTAAAAGTTCCTAGTATAACCCGTAGAGTTCGTCTTTTAATCTGGATCTAGATTAGGGAATTCTTTTTTATCCTTATTTTTTACTTACGGGTTATTTTACCTCCATAACCTACAGTTAGTTAATCACTAAAATAAATAATTCATTCATTCATAGTAATGGCTCATTGATCGTAGAGTTAGTTCATGGAGTGAAATTAAATAGTGAGTACTATAGACCATCACGGCAGAAATGTCATCTTGTAGAAGTGTTACAGTATATCACACTAGGTAAGCTGCAATGCTGCATTTTGGTGATCACTAAGTAGTCGGCCGCTCGCATGCTATCCCAGTAGCTACTTCTACTTTCCTACCAATTGAATGAAGAGTATAAAAGAATGAATAACTTAATGGGCCCAAAGCGATTTACTAATGTAAAATAGATTCTGTAGTCTGTACTGTATAAATATTAATGTTCATCGTGCAATAGTTCTAACGTAATTGACAAGTATCACAGTTCTATAGGACAGTGCCATATCTAGTAGTAGGGACAAACTACTGTCATCAAGTAGCCATCACAGTAAAATAATATGCAAGCTTATCATTTCTTGCTCATTCTTCTATATGGTAGTAATGAAAGTAAAAGAGAGAAATGATTTTAACAAGGACTAATGGAGTACTGCAAGTCCACTCAGTTATACATAAACTGTCATAGTATTGACTAATAAGTAAATTAAGAACGTAGTTTAGCAACCGATTCCGATATGTTGTTGGCGCAAGCTGCTCAGTATAAGTTATAACTAATGTTATAACTTATATTATAACCCGTACATAGTACAGTACTACGTACAGGCGTACGGTAAAACAAGGACTAGTATCTTAGCAATTCCCGCATTATTAATGTTGGTACATGTACATTTCTTGTTGAGCAATCACAGAATATGACATCCATTTTGCCCTACTGTCATGAACCATGAAAGCATCACTTGTCATAGTTTATGATAGTATTTTGGCAGGCAGCATAGTATATAAAATGTAAATTTTAGACTTCCACCTGACATTCCTCGTCGATTAATAAATGTCTACATCAGTGCACTAAGCCATAGCCCATTTCATGCCTACAGTCCATTTTGAGAGTCAAGTGCCAGAGCCCTATTCGAGGCGATTTAAGAGCGAATTCCACAGTACAAGAGGATAGCATGCACCGTTTTACTTGATAGAAATGGAATATTGATGGCATGCACGATTGCACTAGATTGAAATGGAATAATTGTGAACTGCAGGTTGAAATTTTTCAGCATGTGTCAACATGTCCATTGCATGTGTACTATCCGTTTTGAGAGTCAAGTGCTAGAGCCCCATTAATAAATGCGTTTTGAGAGCAAATTCAATAGCACAAGAATTTCACTTGATCGAAATGGAGTTTTTGTAAACTGGAAGTTGAAACTGTTCAACATGTTTCAACATTTGCATTGGATGTGTATTATCTGTTTTGAGAGACAGGGGCTAGAGCCCTATTGGATACCAAATGATAGCTAAATGATACCAAATATATCTCTAAATGATCTATTATAATCGTAAATTATATAATCTATAAATGTATCATTTGGTATCATGTAGAGAGCAGATTCAATAGCTCGAGAATTTCACTTGATCGAAATGGAGTATTTGTGAACTGCAAGTTGAAACTTTTTCAACATGTTTCAGCATGTGTTCTATCTGTTTTGAGAGTCAAGTGCTAGAGCCCCCACCCCCATTGGAGGCATTTCGAAAGCACAGGAGGATGGCATGCACCACTTCACTTGATCAAAATGGAGTATCTGTAAACTGCAAGTTGAAATTTTTTTAATATGTCTCAACATTTGCATTGCATGTGTACTATCTGTTTTGGAAGTCAAGTGCTAGAGTCCCATTAGAGGCAATTTGAGAACAAATGTGTACTATCTGTTTTGAGAGCCAAGTACTAGAGCCCCATTGGAGGCAATTGGAGAGCAAATTCGACAGCACAAGAGGATGGCATGCACCACTTCACCTGACCGAAATGGAGTATTTGTGAGCTGCAAGTTGAAACTTTTCAACATGTTTCAACATTTGCATTGCATGCGTACTATCTGTTTTGAGAGTCAAGTACTAGAGCCCCATTGGAGAGCAAATTGGACAACACAAGAGGATGGCAAGCGCCATTTCACTTGATTGAAATGGAGTATTTGTAAACTGCAAGTTGAAACTTTTCAACATGTTTCAACATTTGCATTGCATGCGTACTATCAGTTTGAGAGTCAAGTACTAGAGCCCCATTAGAGGCAATTGGAGAGCAAATTGGACAGCACAAGAGGATGGCAAGCGCCATTTCACTTGATCGAAATGGAGTATTTGTAAACTGCAAGTTGAAACTTTTCAACATTTGCATTGCATGCGTACTATCAGTTTGAGAGTCAAGTACTAGAGCCCCATTAGAGGCAATTGGAGAGCAAACTGGACAGCACAAGAGGATGGCAAGCGCCATTTCACTTGATTGAAATGGAGTATTTGTAAACTGCAAGTTGAAACTTTTCAACATTTGCATTGCATGCGTACTATCAGTTTGAGAGTCAAGTACTAGAGCCCCATTAGAGGCAATTGGAGAGCAAATTGGACAGCACAAGAGGATGGCAAGCGCCATTTCACTTGATCGAAATGGAGTATTTGTAAACTGCAAGTTGAAACTTTTCAACATTTGCATTGCATGCGTACTATCAGTTTGAGAGTCAAGTACTAGAGCCCCATCAGAGGCAATTGGAGAGCAAATTGGACAGCACAAGAGGATGGCAAGCGCCATTTCACTTGATTGAAATGGAGTATTTGTAAACTGCAAGTTGAAACTTTTCAACATGTTTCAACATTTGCATTGCATGCGTACTATCAGTTTTGAGAGCCAAGTACTAGAGCCCCATTAGAGGCAATT